CTCCCACATTTTTCAAGATCCCAATCCATCTGCATTCCATCTTAACCACCATAATGGTGGGACCGGGAGACATAGCTGAGATCTGATTGGTGGAGATTTCCTGAATCACCATCTCCAAGGTGGAAAACACCACATTGATACAATTTCCTTCCAGTTTTTTTTTATTTTATCCAGTAAAAACTATGTTTCCTTGCTTTAAAAAGTTGTTTTATGGAGAACATGTGGTTTGTGGTTTCCACATTCATGCTAAAACATAACATTTACGCTGCACATCTGTCTACTAAAGCCTGCTTTTAACAATCAGCTTCCAGCTGTAAATGAAGTCCAGCAGCTTCCCCCTTTTCCTGCCCCAGTGTCTGCAGGTAACTGGGAAACAACTGGAACGTTGCACAACCACCGGCCAGACCGTAAGAACGATAAACAAGGCTTCTAGCAGATGGAAGCTCCTTCATCCTTGCCATTTGGGAAAGTGTAAAAAGCCCAGATTGCTACAGCAGCTAGAACTCATTTCAGCTGTCACCAACAACCTTTGAAGAAAGATGCTTACAACCTCTGGGAAAAAGGCCGGGTGCTCTATGACCTTTTGCAGGTATGATTTATTAACATCCAACTAAATTGATTACAGAGACAAAAATAATAAATCAAGTTGCGCGTCAAGGTGCTCCAACATTATTACAAATTTTTGGAGTAAGTGAAGCAGAAAACAGGAACGATCCTGACTACAGAACGTTTTCTCAAAAATCTGAAAGTCGGTGATAAAGTTCTAACACATAAGATACCTTTCTTCATTCTGAAATCACTAATGCCCTATCAAAACAAACAACAAATTCAGCATTTAGCAGCTTTGCGCGTGTAATACCTCATACCTGTGGTATGTTTTTCCAATATTGGAACTAGTAAAATACTGTTTAACATAAATACTGTTAAAGACTGCCCGATTCTCAGGATACCAACCGTCCCACAGCTGAAGGAGCTCATCACCTCCCCTGGATCAAGCTCCCAAACATTCCCATGAGCTTTAATACAGTTTTGTTTTATACAACAAAAACACCAAATTCACAATTTATATAAAAAAGGAACCGTTTAAAATAATTTTTTAACATATGGCAACTATTGATCTGGAAAATTTCTCTTATTGCTTTCAAAAGCTGCAGCAAGAACAGTATCTAAGAACTGAGCGGCACAGTAATACATTTGGTGGTAAATTACAGCATTTGCTAAGTTTCAACAGACAAGCCAGATAAGCTGTGCAGTTTCTTGTGAACCCACAGCTGCTGGAGGAAGTTGCACCCACCAGTAGCTAGAATATAGAAAGGATGAGTTAGTGAATACTGGCAATTTTATTTATAGTAGGTATAATCCATGAATGAGAAAACACTCAACCAAAAAAACAACCCAACCAACCCTTCCATTTTAACTTCACTCCCTTGAACAGCACCATCTGACTTTCGCCCTTGCAAGGTGCATTCAGTTACATGGAGAAGCTGGATTTCACCCTTCTCTCTATGATACATGCACCATGGGCCAGGTTTTGCATCCTCTCCAGCTTGCCCCCTCTGTATGGGTTGGACACACACACACACACAAAAAAAAAAGCTGTATTGAACAAAATAAGATGCGCTGAAAATGTCCTGCTCTGCAAAGCTGGTCATCTAGAGAGGTGACGGGAGAGATTAACAGTCTTGTTCACAGTCAAGGAAAAGATGCAGAAGTAGGGCACAATGTTTATGGGGAAAGTTTTTAACTACAGCTTTTAGGCATGATTTGTCATTTAAAAGCTTGTTAGAATGGACTGCTTGCCTATTTTTCAGATTATTTTTTTTTTTAACAGAGAAAAATTGGACACCGAATAAGGACTTCAAGATACCAGAGGCCACATAGAAAACCTAAACAGTAAACACTATTTACTGTTTAGTAAGCACTGGGGATGGGGGGGTGGGGCATGAGAAAGGGTGAGGTTTTTGTTAGGTTCCTTTTTGTTGGTGGTTTTTTTTGTTTGTTTGTTTGGGTTTTGTTTTTTTTTTTGAGACTGACACTGGATCTTTGTGCAACCCCAAAGCTGTCCCTGGCTGTACGTTCCAGCTCCATGATTTTGTGTTCCTTTCCATGCTGTGATCTGGCTTTAACACTAAACTGACAAATAATAAGGTGACCGTGTTTGCCACCACCGCTTCCTTCAGGGACCAGGTTTAAAAAAAAACCTACTTCCAGTCCCTTCATAGAAAACTTCTTGCTGGAAGAACAGACCTCTAGGATGGTTCCTTGTCAAAATTTTGGCTGTTTTCACTCTTCTTTCCACGCACCTAATTTTCCAAGCTCCATATAAAGAACTTAAATACTTTACTGGATCTGTATTTCAAAACAGCATGTAAAAGAACTAAATCAGTGCTGGCAAACGAACACATAAAGCATATCTGAGAGAGCAGAGATTCAGAACGGAACACAAGGCTTGATGGTGCGCTCCCACTCAGTCTGAAGGGCCCTTTATGCCTCCTGAACAAGCTATCCTGTTTCCCAATCCCAAATTTACACCCTACCAAAACCAGAAACTAAGTGTCAAATCTGGAAAGTAGAGCTGTGAGTTTCTGTTTCTATGATCACTATTCCTCTGGATATTTTTTTCTTTTCTTTCTTTGCTGCGTCATTTGAAAACTGAGTCAGTGTTTTAACACCCAAAGGCCTGAGCCGCTCCATCATCTTGACGTTAAGTTTATAGGGGGATACACAAAGCAAGCAGTGCTAGAGGAAGGGGTCTCAAACTGCCCTCCAAAATCCCATGACATCATGCTTTTAAGAGAGCTGTGACAGCAAGCAATATTCGTCAGGAAATTTTAGGACTGATCCATTGAGCTGAACAGCTTAGGGGTCCCTGCTGTGCACGGAAGGAAGCAGTAAAGTTGCTTTTTGTTACTGTTCAGGGTAGGTGTGGGGAAAAAAAACATTCTTTGATGTCAGTTATTAAAAATCTGATCCATTGAGCTGAACAGCTTAGGGGTCACTGCTGTGCACAGAAGGAAGCAGTAAAGTTGCCCAAATACATTTTTTGTTACCGTTCAGGGTAGGTGTGGGGAAAAAACATTCTTGGATGTCAGTTATTAAAAACAGCAGCTGTCTTAGTTATATTGCAGAAAATTAATGTAAGTTTTGCACCCATTCACACATCTGAAGTTTGGGGGAAGAAAATCACCAACATTTCATATTTTACCAAGAATAACTGTATAGACTATATTAAGGTTTGTGAATGATGAATATATTTTTATGCAGGAATACACAGAAGTAACATCAAGACAATTTTCTTCCACTTATGAATACGCAGTTGACAGGAATTAAGTGAAATTAAGCAGGGACAACTATACTGCGGTTGGAAACATGGGGTCAGAGGACCTTTCACAACTGGTCACATCGTGTTTGCAGATGTGCATTAGAGATTTACAAAAGGAGCTATTGTGCAAGGATTTTGATTCATGTATTTATGAAATGCCCTGGATTATTCCCAGGCATCATTCTTCTGGAGATGGTAATAAAATTCTGAAGTTTACCTTCTTGATATGGGAATTTTGCTGAAAAAAATTTAATATAAGGCACTACTCACCCTAATGCTTCCTGTCATCAACCAAATGTATTTTAGACATTTTAGACTGCAAGATACAAGGCAACGCTGCCAGTCTGATTTCTCAAAAATCATGACTCAAACACCCAATATGAAATTAGTTTTGTTTAAGACCTGCTGATTTTAATGCATTACTATTCTTTAACTTTGCCTTTTGGCTCCTAATACTTTCATTTCAGATGCCATGAGCTATTAGGTCATATAACAAAGTATGGGGAAATCCCCTCCATACATAGAAAATACAAACCCATCAATCAGATCAGACAGTAATCACAGTACCTGCCAAATATGACAATGAGCGAGTTTAATGCATCCTCCACAAATTTTGCTCCCTTTCTTAAAACCCCCTTTTTTTTTTTTATTTCCCCTACTCGGCTTTATTGTTAAATGAACGTTATTTTTAGTATGAATTGTAATTACCAACAGCAAGGATAATTACAAATACAACTCATTTTTGTGCCAAGTTTTGACAATCAACACAAGAATAAAACACAGGAAGGGAACACGCCACAAAGAGATCCTCACTTTCCTTGAAAAGCCAAACAGCCCCCAAAGGTTAAGATTTCCTTTGGAATCAAAGGCCAGATTTTGTCTTCATATTGACATGAACCTTGGCCTTATTGTAAGCTGCTGACGTGTAGTCAAGTCTTTAAAAGACATATTAAATAGGAAGAATTATGCTAACTTCTTTGGTAATGAATTACAGTGAGGCAGAGTTCCTGGGAAAAATGAAAAAGCCGAAAAAGCATTTGTCTGCCTCTGAGACAATGGGGCTTCAAGGTAACAGAAAGCAAAATTCAAATATGCATCTACTCTGACATCACAGATTTGGTTTAAAATGGAAGCGTTCATAGTATTTCCTTCATGTGACACACAATACATGGATCCATGGGTTTTCCTTAGAGCAATGCAGCACACAGTAAAGTGCAAGCTTTTCCTAAGCTACTGGTCCCCCAGGAGTCTCCCTTATCCATGCCCCATCCAATCGTTCCAGTCATAAGCCAGTTAAACATGCCAACAACATTTGGGTTTATTTTGTGTCATTAGAGTGGCATGTAAGAAAACGAAGGGAGGACTGAGGGGTGACAGGATATAGAAGTTAACTTGGAAACTGTGTTGTTGCCAGAGTCACAGCCACATAGAACACATCTGAAAAATCATGGGTCAGGCTTGAGTTGCAGACAGGTAGGAATGCAAATTATTCTGCTAATGACTGTGGCATTGTGATTTGATGGGGAAAAAAAACCCCAAAATACTGCCCATCTCTATAATCTTAATTCAAAAGTGCGGCTTCTGCTACATTTGTTTCCTGCTAAATTTCTGACCTATGGTTTAGTAGTTTCACAAATCTAGCCATATGTATAAAATTACAGGAAAGAGATGCAACTGATTTAGTGCAAGACACTTGAATATTTATCTGAACATAACAAACAAACAGAGGAAGATCAAAGACTCCATACACTTCTCCATAAGGCAGATGGTCATTTTTTAAATATAAGATCTTAAATACGCTGTTTATTTCTTAAGAGGTAGAAAATATCAAAATACTAAGAAAAAATTTCTAGCTTAAAACAATCAGTTTGCTTACTTTTTAAAAAGTCTTCCTGTTGCAATTTTTAGGTTAATAAAAACAAATGAAGCTATGGAAGCACAGGATTTCGTGCTCTGTATATATTTTACTTACTGGAAAAAGAGAGAGCTTCTCCATCTAGTCAGTGCTCAAGCATTATGTACAAAGGATCTCCTCCAAAATCTGAAGATTCCCAGTGGAAAATTTTGGCGATTCCTGAATTTCTAGCACTGCATTTAGCCGGATACAGTTTACGTATAAGGCAGTAGAACCACTGCTGTAAGCTCAGAACCACCTCTTCCATAATGCTAAGAAGAAAGCTAATAGAAACAAAAGCTTATTTAAATCTTTTCTACAGGCAGCAAAGGATCACTCGCAGATTCCAGCACCAGCTGACGATCTGGTTGAGCAATTTATACCAGCCCAAAGACAGCTGAACTACTCACTGAACTGTGGAAGCCTACTCAGAGTTGGAGTTACTAAGGCTTGCACCCTGACTTCCCAGCACAGCTACGAGACGCTGATGCTACTGTCTCCAATGCAATTCAATAAGGCATAAGTTAGCTCAGAATTGACATAATTACACATTGGAAAAGTAGTGTAAAAGCTCCTCTTTTCCCTCTCGCTCTTAACATTCAGTACTATTTTATTAAATATTTTATAAAAAGAAGTTAGGGCATTTATACATTCAAACAATCACTGCAATAGTCAAAATAAAGAAAACAAATGGATTATCAGGTTCTAAATTAAGCACAGTTCTGGAGATATGCACACTTACACACATACACACGCCCCACACATATATTATATGTGTGTGTGTATATATATATAGATGTATATATATAGATATATTTTATATATACTTCTTTTAAATCAGATCTGAGAATACAGCACAGAATATCTTCACTGGGCTCCTCTTTCACCAGAGGACAGGATTGTCCAGTTTGGAAAAACCAGGTTCTTTTCTAAGGTCCATGTAGGTTCCATTGCTCACCCAGGAGTCATCGCTGGATTTCCTATCAAAGGAAACAAATGCCTTAAATGTAAAGCTTACATTTTCCAGATATATGCTGTGTAATGCAATGTAGCACTATGCACTGACACCCAATCCAGCCCATGAACCAGGTGTGGTGCAACTCAGTAGAGCCTTCAAACAAGGCAGTATAGCCTGGGGAGGGGAACTGGGGGGTTTGCACTGAGAGAACCTATAGCTCTCAGTCAAGAGGCAAAACTCATTGCACTGGATCCTCTACATCTGCTTTTAGTCTAGTGTACAACGTTTCTGGCACAACCACAAATCATTCTTTTAAGTAAATCAAGGCTTGTGATTTGTTGAAGACAGAAATCACTACTGAAAAGCCAAACGCATAATTCATATCTCCTCTAACACTGGGTAACACTTTTGCTATACAGTAATTCTGCTTCTTTTTATTCTGTTATTTAAATCTACACCACAAATCTCAATTTTCAAATCCTCACTGAAAGGATGCAAATCCTCATCCGCGTTCACATTCCTCATTGTGAACGTACAGTTAGAAAGTATTGGACTTTGTCTCTATCCTGCTGGAAGCAGCATTTCCTTCTCTTTGGAAGGTGTGAATTTACTCACTAGCTCCTTGTACAAGTAGTGCTCTGAGGCATTTCCTGTTTGCACCTATTTTAAACATTTCTATGCTGGACAGAAGTATAATATCTATCTATCCAGAGAAAAAAATAGGATGCCAGATCTGTTAGCTGTGATACATAGGCCCATAAAACCTTTCACCTTGGCTCCGACTCTTTTATTGCAGGAGAACAAAGAAGCTGGAGGGGAAAAGGCCATGTCCTCACTGGCATTCCTTTTTGTCTTTCGATGGCTGAAGCCTCCCATTAATTGATTTACAACAGGAAGAAATAAAGCGCCCTCTGAATCATAATTCTCTCCCTATCATATAGGAGAAATACGTCCAAAAATAGCCCTGGAAACCAAAGTCCCCAAATCTGCACACTTCTGCACAAGGCAATCCCACTGAATTCAGCAGCCGTCCAGCAGAGGTAATTAAGCTAAATCAGCTACTTCACCTTGCTTGAAAGAATCAAAGACGCTACACTCACTCAGGCAAATTCAAATGTAGACTAAATTATCAACCATCATCAAGGCAAAAAAACTAGAAAGAATTTCAGGGATGCCCTAGTGAAAAAGCAATATATAAGCCTGAGTTTTAACTAAGTCTGGAGTGTTCTACATTGCCAAAGTACAAAAATCAAGAACATAGAAGAAATCTGGAAAAAACTGGAGCCTGCTCTATGGCAGTTTAGAACTAGAATTATAATATGAATTTCAGTAAATTATAGTGTATGCTAATTATTATACAGTACCTGAAAAATCTAGGCTGATGCTCTAGATTGTTTTCTTCCAGCACCTTCCGTCGTTCTCTCTGTAGCTGCTCGATCCTCTGCTTCTGCATTTCAGCTCCTTCAATATTCCCTTCTTCTAGAAACCTGTGGCACCAGCAGTGACAAGAGACACAATTGGTGGCTCCTGTCCCCCATCTTTGCCAGGTCCCGCAGAGCTCCAGCATCTAATCTTTACAGCAGGCAGCTCAGAGTGTTTGAAAGGTGACCGGCTGCATCTGCAGACAACTGCACTATCAAAAAGTACTTAAGGAATAAGTATCTCTCATAACAAGCTCAGAGTCATTATTAGATTATATTCTTTCTCCTTGGAAGCTGGCAACAGTAGAAATTCCACCGCAGAAAGATGTTTCAAGTGTCTCAGTTTTTGGCTACTCAAACACAGTACGCTCAACATCCAGTACCTGAAGTACTGAAGTTTTAACATCTTTGGAAAGGCAGTTATCTAGAAGCATGCAAGAGCCAATTTTAGGAAATGCTGGTCCATAACGACAAGACCATCACTTGATAAGTGATTAAAATGCCTGTCTCAGATGCACATTAATGTAGAAATAGAAACACACTGCAGGTACCTACACAAAATTGTCTGAGCTTCAGGTAAAGCGAGCGCACAGAAGATTAAGAACTATCCAAGGAAGACATTTAAGTGTTAAAATTTCTTACCTTTGGTCTGGCCTAAAACGTGTATCAGTGGATGGGAGTAATGACCTAGTCTGCATATCCAGTTCATTTAACTCCAGTGCAAATTGAGTAAATCCATACCACTGTTCATAATCTTTAGGCATCGGATCTACAGAAGAAGAGCACATTCAGAATTACAATTAAATGCTATTATCTTTACAAGGAAAATTCCAAGCTCCCCTCAGTCATTTTTCATCTTTTAACCATGGTCTCAATTCTGGGGGAATACAAGGTTTTTAATAATGTGACAAAAGAGAACATCCCCCTTGATAATTGCACTGCACAAAACAGATTTCTGTTCTCTCAGCTGAATCAGAGCACAACTGTGACAAGGTCGTGGTATCATCATAGCACTTTTTCAAACTATAGCAGACAAAATTCCACGAGTTTGGGAGAAGTTCAGACATGGCTGTCATTACAGAACTGAGCTTTGTGGGCTATCCTCCAATGTTTGATACATGAAACACACAACGCTCCTCTACACAAAAAAGTGGGGAGGGTTTGTTCCTTTTTTTTTCCCCTCCATTTAGAGTCCTCAGTACCCACTTCATGCCCAAATATGAAAATGAGGGAGAATGGGGAAAATGCAGGAAGCCATGGGATTAAGTTCTCCATACTATTTAAGTTAAATGATACGTTCTTCTGGTCTGAATTGTAAATGCTTGACAAAAATCTAATATTCCACGTAGAAATAACAAGAAGTTGGGGCCTAATAAAGATATGCAAATAGTAAGCTTATTCTCAAGCAGATCTTAAGTTCTGTACGTTAGCCATTGTCATCACTAACTTGCTCTCCATATGCAGTTTGAAGATGAAGTTGTCCCACAGTACAAACTGTCATGCCACTTCCCAAAGAGTCGATGCACAACTTTCCCAGCTTTATCCATGACACTGCCTTCAATCTCGTGTGCATTTGGATTCCAATACTTTGCCTAGGATTAAAAGAAACAAAGGGGCAAAAAGGTGCACAAGAGATCAAGTGTGAGTGATTTTGCCATGTCAGCAGCACCCTGCTGCAAATTGGTTTTCTGCATTACAATATCATATGCAAACAACTGCTTTTAGTATTATTAATTGGCTAATTAGAATACTAACATCAAGAAATGTATTTCTTTTGTTTGCCTTTTTTCAGGGCAGTACTATGTGAAGCACAGCTGATGAATTTTGCCCAATGAAAAGTAAGACTGACTCTCAACTTAGTTATCTACATCCTTTCCAAATTTGCAGAAGAGAAAGAGAAGGAACTGACACAGTAACCTCCATTTTAGACAATTCACAGTATCAAAGGTGTAAGATATACAGGCTCTCAATCTTTAAAATTTGAACTCTTAGACAATTCACAGTATCAAAGGTGTAAGACATAGGCTCTCAATCTTTAAAATTTGAACTTTAAACGTCCATTGCAATCATATCTTGATGCCTTGTACTGAAGCAAAAGCTGTGAGTAACAGCACAACCTCTCACTTAAGCTCCTCCAAGGACCTGCAAAGGGCTAGAAAAGAGCACTGGGTGAAGCATCCCATGTCAGTACTGGTTCTACACTTGCTGAATGAATGCCATCACAGCAGATGCCAACACGTTAGCAGGAGGTACATAGTAAACCACTTTAACACCTACCTCTCTCATCAAACAGAGTAGGTTTTTCATTCACTCATAGTAAACCACTTTAACACCTACCTCTCTCAAACACAGAGTAGGTTTTTCATTCACTCGTGGCTGCCCCATCGCTGGAGGTGTTCAAGGCCAGGCTGGATGGGGCTTTGAGCAACCTGGTCTGGTGGGAGGTGTCTCTGCCCAGGGCAGGGGGCTTGGAACTAGATGATCTATCATTCTACCATTCTATGATTCTGTGATCATATTTCTTCCTTTCCTTCCCCTATATTTTCCTGCATGTCAAGTGAAATCATCTGAGAAAGCTGTTGCTTCTCTTTCTTGTCTGGCTCTACCTAGTGAGTGGCAGTTCCTTCAGAGTTAACATTTCTCAAAGGCCACAGGTAATTACAGCAGAACTAAAGGAAAATACAGCTTGTGAGCAGAAAATACAGCTTGTGAGTCTCTGCTTCTTGTCTGGCTCTACCTAGTGAGTGGCAGTTCCTTCAGAGTTAACATTTCTCAAAGGCCACAGGTAATTACAGCAGAACTAAAGGAAAATACAGCTTGTGAGCAGTTGTACTGAGCTTCAGCAGAGACTGCCCACCCACCGGTGTGTCTGTTAGAAAAGGCTTTGCCAACATTGCTGCGGTTACTGGTGTGGTTACCTTTATGAAAGTCAGTTTGCAGTGGCAAGTGTCATCGTTAAGATTTTTGATGATGATCTCTCCATAGTGTTCAATCCATCTTTGCCCACTTAAGATGTTATGGATACAAGATGTCACCTTGTTCCATGCAAAATGATCTTTAAAACTGTAAGAGAAATACATACAAGAAAAATGTCATGCCATGTTCAAACAAGCTGATAAACTTGTGAAAAAAAATTGCAGAGAATTTGATTAGAAAAAACCCACAAGACATATTTTTTTGTTTTCTGGAGTGCCTCATCTTGTCCCACACCTTCTCTGAAACAAACCCTGTGACAAAAATCCTGTCTGCCAGAAAACCCTTTTCACTCCTGCTATAAACTTTGGTCTTGAACTCAGTTTTCTCTCAATTTACTTGCCCCTATTTTCCAGTTTTAAGTCGCTAAAAGTACTCATTCTAATATTGTCTACTGGCCGAAATGCCCATTTCACAGCTTGTAACACACTGACGACTGAAAACAAAAGGACATGGGCCACCAGAGTCATCAGAAGGCTTACTGAGTGGAATAGCCTGGCTCAAGCTCTCAAGGCTGAGCCTGTGTGTGCTTCAGGCAAGAGCAAAACTTCTCACCAGGTAGTTCAAGATGCAGTTGCACACTAGAGACAGCAGACAGGGAGAGATGAAAAATACCAATAGGTAATACAACATTTTACCTTTTATAAGAACATATACTTCTCTAATAAAACAGCTTTATAAAACTTCAAGTAAAGGAAAATCTCATGAAGACGTACGTTCTACAATCTGTTCTGGATATTGAGAGCCAAGTCGCTGCTGGTAAGGTGAAGGGTAAACTTACAAAACACCAGTTTCCCCAGAGCAACTGCCTCGCACACATCCCATGAGGACATCAGAACCTTTCCTTCCCTCCCTTTAATCCCTTGCTTTCACCTGGTGCTTTGTAAAAGCGTGCACAAGGACAATTCTAACAGACTAGCAGATATGCAGCCAATTTACCCCACAGTAACTCGCTTTCCTGCCCCCACCTGCAGGTCACACGCTCTATTACACAGGCTAAAAATACTGTATTTGCTCCAGAAACCCCCTTAATACTAATGCTTTATTTTTCCTATAGCCTCAGTACCTTTTTTATACCCAATTCTACAGCAGATATTCAGGGATACAAACCAGCACATGGAGATGATACATGAATCAGATTATTTTCCACTTCATCAGCCCAACCTGGGCCCTAGGCCCTTAGTTACCTTGCCTTGGAACACTCACTCACATCCTAAAGACTCTTCAATCCACAGCTCAGATTAGCCACTATGAACACAACACCTTTTATACATTACCTTTTGGACACTATCTTACTATATTGCAACTTTACCCTCTTAATAGAAAAAGGCATGCTTAGGTGCTTAGTCTGACAAGTGTTAGGTTCTTGGGTTATTTTTCTTTCTTCAGATGGCAGAGTAATTAATTTTGTAGACTTTCTTTGGAAAACAGATTTAATTGGAAGACTACTCAACCTGTAGACCTCTGGTTCTGCAAACAGGACAGATTATAAAAAGGCCAAATTTCAAAGGATTTTGATTGTTGATCTATAGTGGGCACTCTGACAAGCCAGCAGAGGAACACTGCAGATTTTAACTGAAAAAGGATAAAAATTAAACTATACTTAACTCTTAACTACAGTGGTTGCTTACTTCCTTGATAAGAAACATCAGATATGGGACTGGTTCTATTTATCACTTACAATAATTATTTATGCAGTGATCATAGCTGTGAGCCTCACCCACAGAGCAAGAGCATGTGGTGTCAGGGCTTGTACAAATACAGGTACAAAAGACAGCACCACCACCCGCTCCCCAAAACCTACACTCAAGCTAAAGAATTTATAGCCTCCTCTACCATGCAGTTTTCCCCTGTGAGTTTAAGTATGAAAATACCAACTTTGTTTTTTTTCAAGACACACAGGAGTGATTTTTATTTCATCTTTTCTTTATAACCCTTGGAAGAGTTAGTGCTTCTGTTTCACACTTCATTTTTTGGGTTGGGTTTTTCTCATTCCGCTCCACCCCCACCTCCCGCCTCTTTCTTTTTAAACTAAATTATAATCACCAATTCTTCCAAAGGTCTAATACGGCACAGCACAGCTTGATCTCATCTGGATAAATGTGGCTCCAGCGTGTGCAAGCATGTCTGTGCCTGTGTGTGAACAGCATCGCACGACTGCAGCACTTACGCTGGAAGAGTTACATGTGTTGTACCAACTGGAACAATTTCCATGGACTTCCCCCAGAATTTGTTTTTCCATCTTACATCTGAAACAGTAAGAGGAAAAAAAAAAAAAAAGACAGGTTTAGTCATAAGCATGAGTGAATCATTCTATTTTTGGGTTCTACTTTATTTTCAAGAAATGCAAAATATCAAAGTGCAACATAACAATGTTCAAGAAATGATGGGGTTCTTCAAATGTGGTTTTGTTTGTTTGTTTTTTCATTACATGAAAAAAAAAAAAAAAGACAGGTTTAGTCATAAGCATGAGTGAATCATTCTATTTTTGGGTTCTACTTTATTTTCAAGAAATGCAAAATACCAAAGTGCACCATAACAGTGTTCAAAGAATGATGGGGTTCTTCAAATGTGGTTTTGTTTGTTTGTTTTTTCATTACATTATTGGCTATCTAAATAGTAAAGTAACAGATTTAAAAGTTCTCTCAAAAACTTCTTCAAAAGAGGGGAATTTGAATAAGCTATAGACAGCATATATTAATCTGCAATTCAGTCGCTAGTAAATGAATGCAGACATTTCCAAAAACAAGAGCATAATTTCAAATACAAAAATATAGCAACTAAGAACATCCACAGCGAAGAAGCAAAATAATGTTTCAAAAGGCAGAAAATTGCAGAAAGATTTAGTCCAACTTCCTCTGCAAGTTTAACTGGCCTTTCAAAATCTTGTCTGAATCACAGAAAGATGCGTCCAAGTCTCACGTCATTTCTCAAAAAAGAGATGAGAAATCTCAATGCAAATTTAGCCAAATTTATTGAGCAAAAACACCTGGAAGAGAAAGAAACATGGACAGAGAAGCATGGCAGAAGTGCTATAGGTTTAAATTAGGTTAGATAATCAGGCAGTAACTTCCACAGTAACTTCAGAGTTCAAGGGAATAGTATCCTTGGCATATTAGACACTAGGAACTCAATTCCCTGCCCAATCTGAGAAAGAGGGGGAAAAATCACCTCTAGTCTCAAAAATATGCTAGTACTACCACAAGGAAACCAACACACTGTTTCCTATGCAACCATGAGGGGAAGCTGATATACCAGCTGAGAGAGATGTTCACACCATAGTTAGGAGACTACATCTCTCCTGAGTATCTATGTTCAAGTGACAGGACTGAGCCACACCAAGCTGCCTACCATTGCAAAGGCTGGAATGGGACCTAGGGCCAAATTCCTCATGAAAAAAGTAACCCCTTCCTTACCCACTTGAGAAAAGGACCTTTGGTTTCTTTTATTTTTGAAGTTCGATGCTGGGCCAGCATCCTTAAAAACAGCAACTCTGTTGTGATTTCAATACTGCACAATAAGATGTCCAAAACCACCTTGACTGTTACGGCGTTGAGCCGAATTCTGTACTAGCCTTCTCTCTTCTGCAGTGGGATGGAAACAAAGGGCAAAGGCACATCCTGCTGACTTGAACAGTCTAAATGTAATTATCAGACTGTGTTATGTTCGGGTTTCTTATAAATGGCACAGCTGTCCCACGGAGATCAATACATGTGAGTAACTTGATCATGCAAAAATTTTAGGGCAACTAAGAAAAGGGAAGTTTTCTTTTCAAAGCTACTCTCAGACTAATTCAGGCACAGATGCTGCAATAGCTGGAACTTTCTATTCTGCATTTCCATTGTTTGTGTCTCCACGCTCCTTTGCAAAAGCAGAGTCAGCTTCCCAAGTCAGGGAAAATGAGTTCCAAAATAACTGCCCCTGTCAGAACCCAGTCTTCTGGCTCACTAAAGATGATCAAGAGATTTCTTGATGTTGAAACGGATGAACTAAGGTCAACGTCTGGTGGGATGACAGCACTACTCTGGCAATGTTGCTGAGGACTGTCTCCTTTTCCGCTGAGGAGATAATACGGTAAAAGTGAACACATCTTTGCACACAGAAATAATTTACCTCATTGACAAGCTACCTTTATGATTAACTTGATGTTAATCTTTCCACGTAAGTGAATACAGCCCCACAACAAAAGGTCACAACATTTTAAAACTATCTTTACATGGAAAAAACCCCATTGTCTGGATCTCCCATAAGCTCAGGTGGCCACATTTAAAAACCAACCCAAACCCCAAGCCCCTGCAGTAACCTGATAGAGACTCCTGCGCTAATCAAGACCAAATCTTACAGCCCTTCTCATTGATCAAGTCATGTTTACAGAAGAGCTTTGTTCTCTAAATGGAAGTGTTAAAATATTTGGTTTGTCAAGATCTGTAAAACAAATCAGTCGCATCAGATTTGAAGACAGACTGCTATCTAGTCTTACTTATACAGTATTCAGTTAGTGAATAAATTTTTTATCATCTTTGCTTTTTGGCTAAGAACAAAAGGACTCTTGTGCCTGTATTTGTTTACAAAGCAAAGAATTATATTGAATAATGAAACTCAGACTAAAGACACAGTTCCAGTTTCTGTGCAATATGGCTCCATCGGTAATAACAACTACAATCAATCATAACGGAATTCAAGGTTATAATGTGGCTACACTGCGAACTGACAAACCTCTGCACGAAGGATTTTAATGGAGTTAAAAGGCACAGTTATGTTCTGTGTACACTCCAAAAATATCTAACCACACAGGTACTGTGACTGGCTGACAGCTGCACCAGCATTGCACAGCAAACAAAGCTCCAAAACAGGTTTTTTGGAAACACGTTCGTCGTCAAATTGCAGAAAATCTTACACACTGTAATAACGCCAGCAGAGAAAGACATGGTAAATATATTTATCCTTGCTGGTATGCTCATTTTTGGAATTTTTTCTCTGGACAGGTTTAGAAGATCTGCCAATACTCAGGGTTTAACTCATAGTTTTTCAAGCTGTGCTCTAGCTTCTTCATTTTACAAATAGCTTGAGGGACAACTCTTCTTTACTAAAGAACCCCTCCAAAAAAACCTACTTGATTTTAAAGGAATGCATTTGTACATGAAAAGAATAATCAATTAATGTTGTAAAACATCCCCACAAACTTGACCTTTTATAATGGCAGAACATCCAAGTAAGAAACATGCATAGCATTTATTAACGACATTCTAATACAACTTAAGCAGGGAATTTCACCTTTTCTCAATTTCTGGATATTTCATGTTCAGACATACACTGAAAATATTATGAACACTGTAAAAGTAAATGATAGACTGAAGAGTTACCTTGCCAAAAAGCAAAATTCACTGATTCAGCATGGCATGCAGAAATAGGTGGATGGTGACTGACCTAATAGCAAGACATGAAAAGAGGAAAAAAAAAAAAAAAAAGACATATTAACACTCGAACAGCCATTTTGGTTTTTTGGGTTTTGTTTTTTTTTTTGCCAGGCTGGATGGGGCTTTGAGCAACCTGGTCTGGTGGGAGGTGTCCCTGCCCATGGCAGGGGGGTTGGAATTTGATGATCTTTAAGGTCCCTTCCAACTCTAACCATTCTACAGTTCTATGATTCATTCCTATATGACATTTAGAAATTGAACATTTACTTTCCTTTCGCAGTTGTGTCCTGAAGGGGGAGTCAGTGGGATTAATAACGTGCTGAGACCTACCAAGCCTTGAAAGAAAAGGCAAGCACTTATTTTAAAAGGCCTGTGAATTTTGTTCATCGAGTGAAAATCTAACTGTATATTTTGTACCTTGTCTCTAATGTGATAATTACATTTATCCTTAAGGCTCCCTTGATGTATTAACAGAGGCTGCACTTTAAGCACACAGACAAAAGTAAAAAAAAAGAACAACAAAGGGAAAAATTCTTCTGTACAGTAAATACCCCAAACCCCTGACTATGAGGGAGGAGACAGCAATCAGCATCTCTGTGGGGGCCACGGGTGGAGATATCAAGCCATGAAATTCCATCAAGCAACCCCTACTACTGCAGTAGTGACACCTTAGGTGTTTGTAGTGCAAAACCCTCACCACACACACTGCATTTTATCAGCTTCGGGTAATTGCACATACAGGAAATAAAGCAGCCACCAAAATAGCAAAGCAAGGACTGTGAGTAATTAAAGAAATACACAATGCAGACTACTAAAAGGGAATAGCAAATAATACCCTTCTGGGTGAACACGAGTAACAACTGACCAGGACCAACTCTTCGATGCGTAATGCCTAGTCTTCTTTCAACAGAGAACTTTCTTTTCAAATCAAATGGCTATTTCTCACTATGAATTTAATTTCTTAACCACCCACAGGGCTCAGATGCAATTTTACTTCCTTCTTTGTTACTCATTTTGCAAATATGTTATTGAGCATTTTTCTGCAGACATCCAGTTATTTACTGAAGATCCTTTACTTGGTTTAAAAAAAAAATATATATAAAAATTACTAATTACTCTAAAATATGCCCTAATCTACCAAAAGCAACACACTCTCTCTCACATACCCCACTGAGATTAACCCCAGATGTCACTATAATTCATGGGTTAAACTTAGCTCTCACTTAAACTGTTATAATTCCAGAGTAAGGTCATGGAGTTAAGTGGAGTTATTCTAAACTCACTCTAGTAATAGAACAGAATCTCTCTTATTTTATAGATTTTGCCCATGTATTTAATTACATGCTATCTGCATTAACAAGTTATTTACTGTATGCATCTAAATGCTTGCACAAACAAGCAATAAGCAACAGCTTCTGATGCAAAGAGAAACATTTAATGCTTGCAAACTGCATGAAATTTCCTTCTTCCTCTCCTGCCCTCTCCTCCTAATATCCCTCCATCCCATACTATTTCAGTAACTTTACCACTCTATAAACTCATGTCACATATCGCATGTATTAGAACAATAATTAATAGCCCAAGCCCCTGCATGTATTAGATTTCTTCTTTAGAAAAAGTAGCCTTTGGATTGATAAATCCAATATTCATGGGAGAATCTCTTCCTTTAATTCAATCTAACATTAAGCTTAGTACCAACCTTTATTCCCCACTGCATTGCTCCTGACACATCTCAGAACTGAAGTAACACAATCAAGAACCAGACCCATTACTTGAACTTTAAATTTGATTCTTGCTTTTTTTTTTTGCCCCTTATTTTTACTCTTGCTGTGACATTTCCCAAGTCTAAGGAAAGAAAACATAGCACTCCCTTCTGTCAGTTCTCAAATACAATGTAAAAAATGTATCTTCAAAGGTGGTCAAAACCACTTTTTGTTTCCTAAAGGAAGTCCTTTCGAAGGCTTTTTCAGATCAAATTTCTAGGTTGTACACCCTTGCTCGCTGCACTTTTTGTATTTTTTTTTTTATGTCTAGACAGAGTGAGACAGCTTTTCCTCATTCTTACTCTGTGAGGCACCAGATTACTTAAGTTTTATCTCTTTTTAACACAGGTCTCTAGCTTAGCAATTTTGGTAACTTGGTTGGTTTAAATTTAATATTTGTCACCCATACTTAAAAATTATTCTCCTATCGGGGAATTATTTTCATAAACACTCAGACCTTGGTGTGTTGTATACATCCTTCATCTCCTAAGCCGTGGTACCAGAGTTGAAAGGCTTAGCCCACAAAGTATTTGGACAGGAAGGAGAAACATTCACAGTACCATGGTAAATACCAGCGGTTGATTGACTTACGCAAGGGAAATATTTGTGACAAAAGAAGACATTAAACAGCTGAAGGAACAGTATTTTTAACGATCACACACAAAAGAAAATGACAAGAATGTGAATGCTTGTTGGAGCCGTGCTCAGATTTCAGCATGGGGAATGGCACTTTACTTAACCAAGTTATCTAGCTGCTGCGGCAGGCAGCCTGCCAGCCCTCGCTCCCCGAGTGTCAGCTGCCGGTTGTCATGTTCCATCCCAGAGACAGCAGACCTCCCTCATAAAGCAATTTCCTTCATTTATAATTCTGCATCGTCTCCTGAGTTTTGCCGGGCTCAGGTCACGTAAAGTAATTTTGTATTTCTCTCAATTCCAGAGGATTCCAGCCATGCCTTTAGAATGAAGCAGTGTATCAAGGACCAAATCTAAGGGTTGCGGCCTACGGTACCTGTTCCGCAAAGAACTGGAAACCCTTATCTTCACGAATACATTCATAGGTTTCTCCAAGCACAGGATTAAATGGCTTACTTCCAGCTCGGTAGTAACTGGATGCATATGCAGAGACTGCAAAGGCAGCTATATACACCTGGGAACAACAGATGTGGAATTTTGATTAATTAATTTATCAGAGCCATGCACAATTTTCACTACACATTTTTATTTGACAGAAGGAAAAAAAATCCCAAGATTCTTTTTCCTGACATCAGATTCTGTATTTTTCCCAATCATTTGCAGACTACAAACATGAATGCCTCCTGCAAGTTAAGCACTAGCTCACACATTAGAGAATTACTCAATCTTCAGAGAGTCGTTCCATGGTTCATGGATGGAGTTATTAGGGTCAAACACTACAAATTTCATCAACTGAAAACAGCGTTTGTGAAAACTGTCTGAAATAGCTCAGCATTCTGCCACACAGCTCAAAGTAGTAACCTTAAAAATCACAGTTAGATTTTGTGTTATATCTGGCCTATATAGTTATGGTCTGTGATTTTCTAAACTTGGCATAGGAATGATTGGATGAGTTTTCACCAAATTTGGTATTTCTAATGCGCTTTGAATTGATTATGATTGAGACACAGGTAACTCTTCAAAAATTTTTGCAGTCAGCTCAAGCATAATTCCTCCTAAACCCGAGGAATCAGAATTTGGGGTTGTTCAATCCCATTCAGGTCTCTTCTGTACCATTCTTCTCCCTTTTCATTCCCTTTCCCTCATCTTGTAAAAGTGTAGATGCTCTCCTGTCACAATTTCAGAAACTGAATCTGCTTCAGAATGGCTCTTCTATGAACTATTACAATTACTATGCAACAGCCAGCATTAATCTTGCCTCAGAAATTTCTCAAAGGCAAAGAGTACTCCGTTCTGAGGTAATTTCCAGATGCTTGGGTGTGGGAAGGAGGGGAAAAGGTTCTTCTCACTCCCGTATGAGCAACTACTGCTCATTTCCTTTTCCTTTTAACACATGTTCTCAAGAAAACAAAACAAAAAAAAGCTATGCAGCTAAAACCCCCCTTAATAGCCACATTCTCTGTCCTGAGAACAGACATTAAATTGTAACCCTTGCAAAGTGGAGCAAGAGCCTTTTCAAACAGTATTTGTAACACGACTACTTACATTCATTAATAACCTAATTTTAAGATAAATACATTGGGTTGCAAATGCTTAATTCAATTTAAAGGACAATCTATAGCTTCCATATAAGAGAATTTAGAGAGCTTTTAATCCCTTATTTATGGGCTTAGACATTAAGTAGCTCTTGTGCACCTAGAAGCAGAACACCTGAAAGGCACTTTTCTCCTGTTCTTTTGCCAAATGCTGAGTTCAGGGTTCTGCACCAGCAGAAGATGACACCATTACTGTACTCAACATACCTTCACATTTCCTGGTGTTGAGATCATGAATTTTGGATCAACCCCAAAACTTCACAAAACCAGTTAATAAAACAAATGGAGCTCATGTAGTTTATCTAAAGATATCACAGTAGTGTAGGGCTGGAAGATCCAGCACCTTCTATGGTGCAAACCTGTTACCAGATTAGACACCCTTAAAAAAAAGATCTTTTGTAGTTTTCATGCTCAAAAGGGAAGTTTACTAGTTCAATGCCCCCCTTCCCTTTTTGCTGTAAATTTTTAATCTTACAGAGTAAGAGCTGCAAAACAGAACTAAGCTACATCTTTCTTTAACCTTGCAGGACAGTGAGGTACTTGGGGAGACAGAATTCCTGACAAAGCAACATAAATTATGCAGAACAGTCAAAAATAGGGGTTATGTAAAGATATAAAGACACATGTTTGTAGAGTCTGCCTTTCTCAGCTGGGAGAAAAACTAAAATGGAGCAGAACATCTTCAGCTCTTTGGCAGATTGTTTTTCTATTTACTCTATTCTAATGATATTGAATGTTACCAAGTACTTGGAATAACATATTTACCATCCGTTCAAATGGGTCAGGCGTATGTGCTGCTTTATCTAGTAGCTCACTGTACTCCAGCTCCTCGCAGAGACGCTGAAGGGTGTTAAGTGGCTCATTTAATTCAACAGGCATGGCCACTTTGGAGAGATCCTTTCCTATGTTATTTCTCAGGATATTCCAGAGGCTGATGTTACTCGTATTAGGACATGGAGCTGGTAAACATGTTCTCCGTTTAGAATTGCATCCGATTCCACTTTCAGAAATACAGTCTGAAAAGAAAGGAAGTGGCAGAACAAGTCAACTCACTGTTTACTTCGTTTCATCCCCTTTGCAAACATGCATTAAAATGCAACCACCTTTTTTTTTCTGCCAAAACTTCCTTCCACCTTCACAATTCATTCAAGTATTTCACTTTTGGTTTAAAGACAGCCTGTTATAAAAATGATGAAATTAAGAACAAGATTTTAATTTCTATATGTTAACAGAGGTAAATGTCAGGAAAAAAAAGTTGCAGAAAAAATTATAACCTTCACCTTAAAGGCTCAAAGAAAGGCTCAGGCTTCCCACTGATTTTGAATGAGTGAATATTACAACTATTTTATTTGTAACAGAGATGGATTCCTATCTGTTTAAGGGACATAAAACCTCCCTCCTTGACAGAGCTTCAATTAAGTTGACACTTCTCAGAAGGCAAGGTGGAACTTACAGATCCAAGCTTAATAACAACTCCTACCTATTTTTTTCCTACTTTTTTTGAATACTCCTACCAGGGAAATTTGCTTCACCAGATTCACATGCGGGCTTTTCCACAGTGCTCCCCATAATGCTTAGCATTTTAAAATAATTAGTGATGTTAGCTTTTAGATACAGCCATACGTGGGTGGAGAAATGGCCTGCTTTAAAGGTTGAAAAGCTGAAGCAATTGTGGAGCTATGGGTTTCCTGGAGATTTAAAAAAAAGAACTCATGTCAAGAGTCTTTGACATGAATATCCAAGGCCTGTGTTGCTATGTCAAAGCAATTGGAACAGGATAAATAGTTGTAAGTGCACCATGAAATGATGTGTGGCAGGATCAAAATAGAGTTACAAGCTTCTGCAACACGCACTACTCTGAAGTAACTACATTGCTAAGCTGTACATCAATCTCATCTCAGAGAGGAACAGGGCTGCCACTACAAGAACATATTTTATCTTTGCATGTCCTTGGAAGCACTAGGAAGCTCCTGCCCTAGAATCGTATCTCCATTTGGAGACATTTAGGTATAGCCCCAGCCTGTCAACCCCTGTCTGCATCTGGGTTTCCTCATGCAGCTTTGTCTTAGAGGAATTAAAACATCACTGGGCAGCATGTGTTCTTATGCTGCACGTGCCCAAAGAATCACTGCCCTTAAATGCACTATTTCAACCAGAATTTCCTCTGCTGGTCCACTAACGTACGCATGATATCAGCAGTGCTTCCAACAGTGACGAAGAACAGATAACCCCAAGGGCTAACTCTCCATCACCGCTATGTAAGCCAGCCCGTGCTTCAGATGGAGGATTTCAAGTGCAATCAGCAGCCTCAAAGTTTTGAGGAAGAAGTTTCCATCTTTCCTGCCACTGACAAGCTAGAAGGCTTATTATCTCATATGACCAGGTTGCTGTAACAAGGACAGGTGAACTATTTGCACTCTACTGCCTATCTCTTTCTTTTTGCTTAAAACTAGCATAGGCACTCTGAACCAAAAAATCTACCAGAAACAATTATACTGTTAAGAGTTAAGAGGTTGGCTCCTGTCCCTCCCTCTTGAAATAGTTTATTTAATATCAGAAGAGGCCAAAAAGAAGGATGTTCCTGTAGATACCTCAGGAATGAGAGGATATCTGGAGAGGAAGGGGGCAACTTCTCCTTGTTCAAAAGAGCTCTCTGAAACGGGATTTGGCTATATCCTTTGACAGCTTCCAATTAAAAGCAGAATACTAATTGACTGGACTACATATTCTGGACCGGTCCATTAACAGGGGTAAAATGGTGACAAAACTAAGTAGAGAAAAAACGAAGATATTCTGACACCAGATTTTCTAGATAGTGAAGTTTGCCCACCCCCCATGAAAAGAAAAACCGGTGCAGTTCTGGTTTGCAAGAGGTGTTACAAATGGCCAGCAACAATACTGAAGGAGATTAAGATGTCTGGGCTCCAGCTAGACTCAATGACTTACAAGGCCAGACTGGACCATTATTATCATCTGGTCTGACCTTCTACATTACAGTGGTCAGAGGATTTTATCATAATCCCACAATTTATGGTTCAGCTAAAGCCCAGTAGGAAAAAGACACCCAGTTTGCTATTAACAGTAGTGGCAGGCTGCCCAAAGTACAGAAATAGCAGGTACCAGAGAAGCATGTGGAGGTGCTGCTAACTCGGAAGAGCTTCAGTGTTACAAAAAGATAAACAGCCAGTTTTCTAAGGTCCAGATCACAAGATAAATCAATATGTATTATTTCCTATCTTTCAAAAAAACAATTTTCATTTTTAAACAGTTAAAGAATACAACAGATCTCCAGGCATATCAAACTACACGAGTTCATACAGATCCACTGGTCCTTGGAGATAAGGAAACAGTTGCTAGTAAAAAACCACTGTTCAGCATTTTTGAAGATAAAAATATATTGATAGAGCGGGAAGAACATTGTGGTTAGCTGAAAAGAACTGAAGGCACAAAGCCAATTAGTTTGTTATGACCAGTTCTTCTCCCTCTTTTTCTATCTCTAATTAGCAAGACAATTAAATAAGCATATGTACTAACAAGACTATCATGATTAAAATATGCAAAAAAGAAATCCTTATGGTCATACACCAGGCCTGCCAGTGTGTAATTATTCTCGTGTTTAAACACTGAGTTTTGCTAAAAACAACAGAACTCTGAATGTGGTTGTTAAACTGCAGACTTAAAAAACAAAGTGACAAGAAAAAAGAAAGCAGCTAGGTCTTGCTACTTTGAAAAATCCTTGGCTATGAAAGGAACTCAAAAGGAGTGGGAGTTGCACAAAAGAAGCCAAGAAAATAGGTATTTCTCTGCTGATGCAGAGCCACCATCCTGCTTACTCAACAGTGCCCAGGCCCTATTAATCAGATTAGCCAGAATGCGCTGTTCTAAACAAATCTGAGGCTCTAAGAGAAAAAAAAAAGCAGGCTGTTCACATCTCAAAACCTGTAATAGCAAATTATTTCTAATAAGATAATTAAAAAATAATCCCAAACAAAAAGAAATAAAGAAAATTCTCAAAACATTGTATAATACAACACTGAGCTTACCTAACGTTTGTCTTTCATTCTCCATGTCATTGCTTAAGTTATCTTCTGAGGCATTATCACTGACATCACTTACATACGAGTCATCATCCGATACCTGAGTGTGGGGTGGAGAAATAAGCAAGATACATCACTCTGTAAAATAACCCCATATGCACATAAAAACTGTTACTTTCCACTCCAATTCTTGTTTTAATAGATTTGAACTGTTTAAGCTGTGTTTCAGTATTACAGGAAAGTACTAAGTAGTCCTAAGAAGACATAATTGAGTTTGGAAAATGGAGTTTGAAAATTCAACTATTCTTTTAGTGGAACTTCATCTTCTTGACCCCGCAGCTAAGGCAGCCTTCCTCATATCAAAAGCCAAGGTTTTTATGGAGTCTGAGAGAGGTGACAAAATGAGCTATTAAGTTTCAATATGCAGGATATCAGCCCCAATGTACCTACAGGTACCACAAGGATAGATATGAATACATATTTTCATGATACAATTTCTTAAGCACCTGTATAATGACTCAAGGCAGACAGTACAATACATGCAGCATCTGCATACCAGCTACCTAATTGCTATTTGTCTCAATGTGTGTATACAACTTCTCCAGAGTAATTGTTACATTTTACTGTGAAGAGACAATGACAACTAATAAATACACACAGCACATTAATTTCTTAATGTTTTGACAATTTTTATTTTCTGGCAGTCATCTGATGTGCCAGATGACTCAGAAAGACTGCATGTCAAGAAGCAGCTAAGAAACCACATCAGAGTGATGTCAATCTGAAGGCTCAGACCTCATTTTCGGAAGAGCTAGCAGACAGCAGGACTTCCTGTGCATCAAAAAATTCCGTGAGAGAGTCAGCTATAGACAGTCTGCTTTCATTGGAGACCTGGTGGACCAGACCTCTGCTTTCTTCTCTTGAATTTTCCTGTTTTAAAGAAATAAGAAGTGTTGAGAGGAGAAGTACCACAGATCGCATTCCTGCATGCAATTCCAGAGTCACATAACCTGAAGGGCTCTAAAACACAGGGAGAAGATTGCACATGCTCCCCCCTCCAATTTGGTGAAAGGTAGCATGTGTTTCAAAGAGGGATTTAAAACCAAATTAAAACAGACAAAAGAGAAGAAGAAAAAAAGAAGGAAAAAAAGCAATGCATATTCAGTAAATCGGTTATGGTGCTACATGTACATTTTCCTCCAAAAAAAAAAGTTAAGTCAAAATGCTTTGATATTTGATTGACTTAGCCAGATATACACAAGTGTATCATCAAAATGCCCCCAAAGAGCAAAACTCCAATCTCTTTACATTACATCCTAGATTCACATTCCCTTCTGATCTTAGCAAACTAATTAGTCTTCTCCTCCCAAGTCTTGTTTAATGCAAAGCCTGTGGTGCAGTGGCATACAAAATTCAGGGGGCCAAGTTGCCTTCTGTAGAATAGCAATGCTTTCCTGGCTCTCTTTCCTCACTAGGTAATTTTCTATGCTGTGCTTTGGAAACCTTTCCATCACACCTTATCCACACCTGAGTCAGCTCCGTGTAAACCAAAACCCAACATATTATCAAAGCCACGTAGGCAACATCGCTTCTGCTGCTGCAGGCACATTCAACGGCCATGGAGATCTTGGTTAACTCCTCCCATGCAAGCCCTACAGATCAGTGGTGTAAGCAGAGTTCCAGAAGGTGGCTTAGCAAAGGTGGGGTGACCAGGGAGACTTGGTTCATTCTGTAGATGCAGTAAAAAAAGCAGGAGAACATTGTGCACTGTTGTTTTCCCTTGTAACTCCACCAACGCTAAGGAAAGGGCTGGCTGGCCCAAAGCAGTGCATTAGCTGCTCTCAAGCTTTTCTCCAGGAGATGCTTTATTAACTTGTAACCATGACCACCCTATCATCATTTTGCAGGAATTGTAGTGTTTTACTTTCAGAACAACATAAGGAATAATCTGACAAGCCTATAATCAAACTGATAAATCTTCTTTCAAAGCTTTTCTGCCGGTAGATTTTATTATAGTATGAAATGCTATTCAGTATGTGCAGATAATGATGACATGGTAACAAACCAAACTGTTATCAAACAATAGACTTTTAAAAAAAGTAGTGCTGGTACAGCAGTGAGAAAAGACTCAACCTCAACATTGTCTCTTCTAGGGCCAGGCAGCTACACTAGCCTACAAGTTAAAAAAAAACTTGTACACGGGAAAGCTTTGCTACAGGGATTGTTTCCAATACTGCTTTGAATCTGAGAAGGAAAGTGCACAGGACTTGCTCATAAAAGAACAGCAGGGTTTTACATTTATCACATGAGAGTTTCAGGTTGTCTTCCTTCATGGTCCCACTCCGGCATGATAAACTACAACAGTCCTCAGACAAATCTAAAACAAAACTTCACCCGTCTAAGTCGTTTCATCCTTAAGCTCCATCCCAAACTATGCTGGAGGGAATTTTTGAATGAAATCTCTAAAGGACCTTTTGAACTGTTTTGCGTGTGTGTGTGTGTGTGGTGCACAGAAAAAGTTTCAGGAGGTAATCCATTGACATTGCAAGGACCTCCACTAAATATAAAAATAAAGAACTGAAATTAAAAATCAATGCGTTAATGCTTGTCTGGATAGTAGTTTAAGTGCTGTTCAAATTCTCATGGGATTAAAAGCAAAAGGCATTAGAATGATAAACTGATCAACTTTGAAGAAAAAAAACCCAACAAAAGGAACTGCTCAATATGACCAAAACACAGCTCTACGAAAACAGAACTAAACCAGAAACGAACAGACGGAATGACTAAACTGTCATTAAAAATAAAAGGAAATAATAAGTTATATAAAACCCATCCGCTCAAGTTCTAATGAAAGATTTACACTACAAGCACAGGAGAAGTTTCTGCATGAGTTCACATTTAGAAAAATCCATCAGAATTAACACGGTTCTTGCTTCCCTCACTAGCACCATTAACACCTAGATCCTACAACCTATGAATGCACCATATTCACAAGCATTCTGCAGCAAGCCAAAAAAACTGCCTGAACACCGTCTCAAACTGGCTAAGTGGATATGTAGAAGACACCCTGGCTTCACACAAAGAAAACGGAATGGCTGAAAGGGCTCTTGTGGATCTCATTTCTTTGATCCTTTCATGGAAATGCCTGATAGTTGTTCTAAACCTTAGAGGAGCCACACTGGTAGCCAGCGTTCTGGGCTAACAATATTTATAGACAGGCAACAGAAAGAACTACAGAACTTGAAAGTTAACAAGGGAATAAGGGGGAGAGGAACAGTAGCACGAGGGGAACATGGCAGCAGCTCTGTTCATGCTGAACGGGAAGCAGGCAGGAGGAGAGGGAGACCACCAGGAACCAGTAGCAAAACAGCAATGGAAGTGTGCTCAGGGAAACTGCTCACAAGGAAAGACTTTGAAATCAAATATTACACAATACATCGTCAGAAATGACTCATAACCACAAAAGCGGACTTATTTTGCTAACACAATACACCATAGGGAAGACACGAAGAACAGGATGAGATGAAGCTGTACAGCACTGTCTAGATGTAGGGGCTTGAGGAACAGACATCACTGAAAGAGGAAATCCATACCCACCTTCACCAAATCTGGACTTGATTTTGCATTAGATGCTGAATCAAGGATCATAGATTCGGCATGTATTCTGCGTAACCGGTCTTTAAGATCTGTGTTTTGTGCTATTGCCTGGAATATTTAACAAAAATATCGGGGATATAAAGTTCTCTCGACTAACTTGAATGTGGCTTTATTGTGTAAAAGGGGTGAATAGAATTAAAAGTGCAATATAAAACACCACCATCACATTACTTTTTACTGGTTCAGCAAATCATTTGCTATAAATGCTTCAAACCTTGTTCATTATTTCTCAAAACTATTCTTTTTAGACTGAAGGAGAATCACATAAATTGAGGGGAAAAAAGCCAAAGATGGCAGGTATATTTCAAGTTACCAGGTTTTGCAGGCTGATTTAAAAACTTATAAATCAATTTTGTGCATCTTCTTTCTTTTCAAGCTCCCCTATCTCCAACCTAACATCTCTCAACATTCGATTTTCCCTTCAGCTATAAACTGACAGTTCCCTTTGCCTTCTACTGACAGAGAAGTAAGACTTAAATTCAGACAGGTACAGGCACAATTTGTGCTTACAATGGCAATGATAAGAATAAAAAGCCTCTACTGCAAACTCATGTTTGTTACATGTTATTTACTCGTGCATCTGATGGACATGTGTCAGTTAGAGCAGACTTGCAGGAAGAGAATGTAACCCTGCCTGCAATGAAAATACCTCTGAAAAAAAAAAATTGGGTTACTAATTTTGGAACAATACTGAATCCTTGCTGCCCATTTTAGTGATCTGAATCAATACTAGGATATGGAGAACCCTGCTGTTTACACATCTGCTCCTTATCCTGACACTAATTTTTGCTGAAAATAGTCTTGAGGGAAGGAAAGACAGTAAGCTCAAAGTCATGATGGAGAGGAGAAAGTAATTTCTCGCTTTATATACGTGTGGTCTGAATTTGCCATAGAGCCATATAGCATTTCTGTGTCAAATGTTCAAGTGGACAGCATTCTGTTATACCCACAATATCAAGTAAGTGCAAAAAAGAAATTACATAGTTTTCCTAAAATAGTATCCTCCAATTTTCACTGTTTGCTACGAAGTGTTTTCTTATTGTCTTCTTCCTCCCCCCAAAATAAAAATATTGTACTTTTCCCTATTCTGTATTTGCTTTTCTTACACTGTGTGTAGGTCAAGGATACAATCTTAATGAGGGAGAAGCAGGGGCAGAGATGCTAATTTTGTGGTGTTTTATCCACTTTAAATCTGTTCACTTTTTTTCCCGCTGCCAGGCTGCTGAGAGCAAAACAGACTGAATTCTAATCACTTTCAGCCTGTGAGTCTGATTTTTCGTTCCTCACGTACAGAAAACAAACTGAAATGAACAACAATAAACACTAAATCAAAGTTATCAACACAGGACTCTGCAAGGAAGTCTTAGAAATATGACAAGTTTATCATATCTGTGCTTCCATATGTCATCAAAGGAAGCTTATTCCTTTCTCCTACAGGATCTCTGCTGTACAGGGTGAGAAAATTTCTGTTGGCATCATGGCTTTACAGATCTACAGTCTAAGAATAGCTCTCACTGGTGTTAACCTCTGTTGAAACTGCCAAGGTTCACAGATGACTTCCTAATGGGCTACAAAAGGCTTATTATCAGATAAGACCTAAAAGGATGACTTTCAGAAGCTATTTAGAGGATCACGATGGACAACAGAATTTCATTGCTTAGAAAAAATATTTAATGCTAAGCTGAGTGTTCACTGAGTTCAGAAGTTTTAAAACAGATTTTATGATATGAAATGGTAGGCAAATAACACTGGAAAAACAAATGTCAGCTATTCAAATATCACACGTAGAACATCTGAAAACCAAAAAAAAAAAAAAAAAAAAAAAAGAAAGAAAAGGGGAAATTTTTTATAAATGAAGATGTTTATACATTTAAAACAAAGAAAAGATCAGATATTAAACTCAAACCTGACACCTAGCACTGAAGTATTTAAATGCCGTCAGGAAAAAAAAAAATATTATGCCATAAAAGCAACCACTTTATTACTGATTTTTTAACTAAAAAAAAAAAAAAAAAAAAAAAAAAGAAATGCAAGCAAGTGAGTATAGTTATTATGCAACAGGTTTCGGCTTTCTCTAAATGCTATGAAGACATCAGGGCCTGTAAAGGTCTAGGCAAAAAGGCATGTTATATACTTAAAAACCTATAACCATATGCAGCTTTTGTACAGCAAAGGGAAGTTTTCACGCTGAAATAATTTTAAGATTATCTGTATCACATTTATCAATGCTAGAGAGTCTTCCCTGCCTGTGATTGGGAATTTGTAACAAACACTGAAATTTTAACACCATAGCAATGATGGCCTAATTGCTCTGAAATCAGATCACTGTTTGGTTGATACAATCAAGCGTTTTACTTGAATTTGCTTTGCAGTGGCTTGGTGCAGCATGGTGAAGCTGTAGTGCAGCAGAAGGGAGAGCTGAGTGCTTTCAGCTACTCTCACCTTTCTTTTATGCCAAGTCATACTTGAGTGCTGTTTAAGTGAAATACTTGAGTGCTGTTTAAAGAAAAGGAGAAGAAAACCCGCAACCTACCAGAATGGAGTGATTAAACAGTGCACATTTCAAGAGAAAGCAGACTTAACATCACAGAGCAGCCCTCTGATTCTTAACATCAAACGATACAGATCACACTATATACCTAAACCAATCTATCAAACTTCAGTGATTTCACAATACCTTTAACATTTAGGAAAGCCTCTTTGAAAAATCCCAAAATAATAACTTATTATAATTCAATACTGCAAATTCTAGCACAGAACAGGCACTAAAGAAACAGAAATTAACTACTATTAAACTTAAAAGTAGTATCTGATGACAATAAAGCTTGCTGAACTTCAGCATGTCACTTACGGTTGTTAAGGCATTCTTCAAGCCAACTATCTGTGCAGAGGGAGACGAGGATGCATCGTGCTCCAGCATCTGCTTCAGCTTTTCTCTCTCTGTAGATATGGTGCTGAAAGCCGACCTCAAGGTGAAGTAAACTGGAACCATTCCATAAAAAGGGACAGTTAAAAACAGCTACAAACTGTATACTTATCAATTATGTAAAACTTCAATGAAACATCATTTACGGTGACAGAAACAAGAATTTAGGTTGAGAAATCCAGGGTGGGTTACTAAAAACAAGTAGTATTAATCAAGGTTATAGGGCAGATTTTTTAGTAGGAGAAATGTTTATGGTGAATGCTACCGTGTTGACTATATTAGCCACAGTCAAAATTACTCTGATTATTTGTGACAGATGGCAACAAAGCTAACTAACCACATCTGCTCTTCACTTGCTTTTGTTCCCCAATTAGCTTGAATCTTCAGATGGTCATGACTCTATTCCACATTCCTTTAAGAATTCCAGTGGGGGAGAAGAAAAGAGGGAAGAAAAAAAAAATGAAATAGAAAAAAAAATATCAAAAAAACAGCTACAGGGTTAGTAGTTTCCCCACAAGCAAGTCAACCGTGCTGTTGAGTTTTGTTATCTCTTTCTGGGATAAAGAAATTTCAGCTTGTTAGATGATTTAGTGACTCAAAGGGTCAGATCCTGAATGTTGTGCATGTTACGCTGCTACTTCTACTCCTTCCTGAGCCAGTATCACCAGCCTGAAACATTTAAATTGGACAACAGACCATGCAATTTAAAAATCAGTACATTTTAAAAGGGGAAATGCACTTTGCTTATTTTTTTTTTCCTTTTAAGACATTTAATCTTTTCTTTAACCACAAGGAATAAAAAGAATATTTCTTTATGTAGAATTTCAACATTCATCTAACTGGAGAATTAGAGGATTTCTGAGGGCCTAATAAAGCCTTGTAATACAGTCATGAGAACTGCCAATGCAAAAATGTATCCATTTCCAGGGAAATGGAGATAGAAAATCTGAGCATGGATGCAGGGAAAGGACAAAGAACAAGAAACCTCTCTCTTTTAATCATCCACTCTGAGTTAACCTGAATCATCATCAGTTCATCAAGTATCTTGTTGTAATGTAATTTACTCTTCTAAGAAAATATTCTTAAGGTATTTTTCAACACCGCAAACCATTACCAAAGCTAATTCTCATACTTTAACCTATTTGAAGAAATCTTCAATAGTATCACAGGGAGTGACGAGGAAGATGTATCCACTATGATCTATTTTGTTTGCCTTTCATATGTGCATGACATGGCCAGAATCTTCGGTGACCTTAAATGTCATTTAGTAAGTTGTACTCTAACTTAAATTTCCAAGAATTATTAGATAATAAAGTGCTAATGTTATATTTTATTTAATTTTTATCAAAAGCTAGAGCAATAGTTTTCTTCACTACACTTTTTTGGAAGGGGTATGGTATAAAGCAACTTTGGAAAAAAATTCTTTGTACTCTTAATAAAATTATACTGTATTAAATAGTACCAAGTCAATTGTCCCCTCAAATTCATCGGTCAATCTAACCAAAATTTCCAACACGGACATTTCAGGTGATATGGACTAGGTAATTTCTTTGCTCTGCTTAATAGCAACTTCTCTAGCTGCGCCCCACCCCCACTTCTCTTTTTTTGGAAGCATACATCAGTTTTGACTACAATTGACTTTATGAAGTTTACTACTTGAATACATTCCTTACATAACAGAATCAAGACACTTCAGCACCAGAGGGGAAAAAGAAGCAAAGAATGCTTATTGATAACATCAACCATTATCTTGTGCAAAAGGGGAGAAAGCCAATACTTCCAAAAGTTTTTCAAACGTAAATGCTTAGTGCCTTCCTCACCAAGATCACTTAAACAATAAAAATGTTTCTGGTGCAAAGCACTTCTAATGAAAAAGGATTTTGAGAGAAGAAACATTTCTAGCCAAGCTGCCCCTCTGGCTGCTTTACATGATTTTACTCTTCTGTATTCACTAAAAATAGGTTACTACCATAGCAACCCTTGCATCACCAACAAATGTTAACTCGGAAATACAGTGAAGCACATCGAATATACAAACATACATGTGCTCATATATACACATATGCAAACACAAGAGTAAAATCAGCTGCTGTATTTTTAGCAACTGAATTTAGGATTTTTACCTTTTGGGAAAAAAATGCAATCTAGGTTTTTAGCACATAAGACAAAGGACTGTCCCTTATTAAATTTTAAAAAAATAAAATGTGATGATTAAGCCACTTTTTTCAAATGACTCAAGATCTCAACATTTGCAATTCCTCAAGGGAATTAAAGGAAGGGAGGGCAATTTCTGTTTTTTCTGAACATTAAACGGGAAGCATTCTTAGAAGTCACATCATTATTTAAATTGTGATGATATAAAATCACATACGAAAGAGAATTTCACTACCTTTATGTGCAATGTGAAATAAGTCTTCTTGCATTTTAGTAAATTCTGATGATGTTTCAGAGCCATCGGAGTAATTTTTCTCCTCTACAAAATCTATTGTAGATAAGTTTGGATTGGAAGCGTGCAGTCTCATGGGGGCAGAGAATACTGAAGGCACCTGTAAGCAGAACAGCCATTTGTGATGTTTTTACAAACTGTAAAGAAAATTTTGCTTTATTGTACCCACCTGGGTTACATGTTTAAGACACCAAAAATCGGAAAACTACTCTCAACTACCACTAGGCTTAGAATGGATGACACCTGGCAAATGAAACGATGGATATAACTTTGCCCGAGATATATAAATGGAGATTTGGCAAAACTCCAGAAACAAGTCTACTGAGAGCTGTAGCATATGCTATACTATTTTTCCCCACCTATAAATATCTAACGGCCTCTGGATGCAAATGTGTACAAAACTATCTGGAGAATTTGCAAAAATCTGTACTGACTAAAAAAAAAAAAAAAAAACCACCACCACAATAACCCTTCAAATTTGAGGCAGATTTAAAACACGGGTAATAAACATGGCCAGCCTGCTGAAGGTCACAGCACAGATCCTCTTGCAGTTACCAATTAAAACATATTTGTGTTTTATCTGATATACCACTTACAATGAGCTAGCTCAGGACACTGCTTAGAAAGGATTCATATCTCCTGAACTGGTCACACTAAGAAGTGACCAATAACTAAGATTTGGAGAAAGATGAGCACTGAAAGGACTGGTTACCTGTAACATTCCTTTAGTCTCTTTCCCAACAACTCTGGATCGCCACCTCCTGTGTGTTCTCTTCTCCTTCTTTGGGCTTTCAAAAGGTCCAACCTTTTAACAGCACATAGGACAAAAATAATACAGATTGCCATAAACCTAAGAAGAAATACCTTGATCCTTTAGGATTTGAGGTTGTTTTTTGGAATTGCAAGGGAAAAACTTCTTTGGGTTTTTTTTTTTTAAACAACAAACCTGCATAGCATTTATAGCAGGCGCTGAGTATGTCCTGTGAAGAACATCCATGCTCTGTAACAGCTGGTTCATTTCCAGTAAATACGTGTGACAGTTGGAGAGGTCTGTTTTGAACAAGAGAATATTTTCAGTTGCCCTGAAGTAACAGACACCCATTAAGTTTTTTTCTTTCTGGTTAGTCTTCTTTTGATTGCAGCTAACTTAAGGTATTCATTGACTAATAGCACATAATTAGACAAATGGATAAAAGCCATGTATCCTTCTATCTTCAAGTTCAAATACAAAATATTGAAATGCATCTATATGGCATGTATAATGATAATATTTTTATCCTAGTTGGTTGCAGAAAAATGAGAATAATATGAGAATTACTGCAGTCAGTAATTCTGGGACAAGTCAGAGCTCCCCATGGTGAGGATAACGATGCCATAGGCATTAAGACGGAATAGTACTTTCAGAGCTAGAGATGAGGCTCCTCTGTATTAGAGCTGAAGCTGGCTGGTACGTAGAACTTTGCCAAGTATTACACAGACACTACCAACATAAGAAAGATCTCCATGCTCTTAGGAAATCATAAGAGCAGAAGGTGACTTTGAAGTACAAAGACTAGATTTTGGATGCTTCCCATTTTGAATACCCAGCTTAAGAAAGTTCAAATCTTACTACTGAAGGCAATGTTTGTATATAAAAGAAAATGTAACTGAAATACATAGGTTCCTTAAAGAGGTGCCCACATCCAAAGACGCCCCCACATCCAAAGTCACTAGTCCTTTTAAAAACACACAAGTAGACAGTTACTCAACAAACACCCCTTTCCTTCCTCCAGTTTCAGAGAAAACTCTAACTGTAATGAATGCTTAAAGTGCAGTATCCTCGTTGCCAAGAAAAACTAGGGAAAATATTAGGCTATTTTCAACTTCTTTCAAATATCATTACCTCTTGAGCATTTTTCCATGTCTTCAGAAGACTGTAGCCAAGATGAAATCCTGGACTCATTACTCGAAAAGGAAAATGACAAGTTACCTCCAGCTGACAATGAATTCTGTTTGGTCAAGCTGCCTGCCTGTTCCAAGGAAGAACAAGTGAATTATTAACAAATAATATTTTAATGTTGTATGCTCAATTTTGACAATGAGCAGTTGAGGTTCATGATCAGGGACAAGGACTCTAAGCATCAATAACGTGGAGGAAAAAAAGTGTATGAACTAAAAAACCTAGGTGTACATTCATTGAGCATAAGGTCAGGATATCAAACATAACTGCTGTTCACAAACAGTATAAATACTAACTACTTATTTTCCAATTAATCTATGTAGGTTAGCTGTTTTATTGCTACATAAAGCTGTGTGAGCTTTAGTCATCTATACATGTATACCCAAATAATAATCCCAGCACCTTGAAAAGCACAAGTAAACTGAATTAAAAGATGAGCCATTGTATTGGCATTTCGTGAACAAATCCCACACCAATTCAGCACTGTCTCATATAACCAACTTTTCTACAACTCGTATACATGAGGGGCATGAGCAGGAGGGAAGAAGGAAGCAGGCATTGCAGAGAAACAGGTAAGAGAGAGTTTGTATAGCTCCAGCTGGCATAGTTTTGCTTTTAATCAGTGTGGCTAAGCTTTAGAATCCAAGCATTCCACATAAACATATACACACACCTCCCTCCTAACAACAAAAAAACAGATGTAAGACTGAACAGGTGTTTCTAAAAGCAAATAAAATGCAATGCAAAGTTCACTTGATATATTTTTCCCACAATAACCTAAACTGCTGGATTGATATCAACTAACATCAAGCTGGGGCTAGTGCAAATTGGCAAACTCCATTTAGCTACAGCAGAGCTAAGGTGATTAACTGCAGCTTAAGAACTATCCCCTTCTATTTTTCACATGAAAATAAGTAGGGCTTCTTTGCAGGGCAAATCTGGATTAATAAATTAGAAGTGAATTAAAGTCTTTCATGCCAAAGAAGAAATGGTTAGCTTCCTGATAGTGAGCACAGAATTTAGATACGGATTTTTATTTTTATTTTTTTGAGAGACAGAGCACAAGCATAGATATATCTATGGGCTTTGCAATGTTCCACTTTTGCCCTTGATATTCTTCTTCCCTTCTACCCCTGCTGTCTTTTGGGAGAAAAGAACTAAACGGGCACAGGAGGTTTGCTGTTTCCTCGCAACCTCAGAGCCCCAGAGGTGCTGGCACCATGGAAATGATGCAGACAGCTCTTTGCAGAACATCCCCATCACCGCAGGGTGAGTTACTGCTCCTTCAGCTGCCCGCTCACCCAGATTCCCTCCTGCTCAACCAACAACAAAAAGCTGCTCAGGCACAGGTTTATGTCTGGTAAAACTCATAAAGGACAGTCCTAACAAAGTGCTGAACTGCAGGTATCGGGGAACAAGCCCACTCAGATCACACAGCAATAGAAAAGAAAATTAGGAGGACAACAAAAAAGCGCTTGCTGCTTAGGAGACACTATGGAGTTGACAGAAATGGAGAGCTGTTTCAGTTACAGTAAGTAACACAGTATTGCTAAAAAAGACATTATTCTCAAAAGACATCACTGACTCTACACTGGAACAGAAGAGCTGCTTTGGGTGAACATCAGCCAGTTGATGTAGAGACTGCTGAAGGCACAGAGGTTGTGTTGAGGCACAGAACACGGTCACTTTTCTGTGAGACTGCATCAAAGAGGTCACTTATGGTGTCTGAGCATTTGTCAGGTCTTTTGTGAAACTAACAGTCACAGTTTACCTAACAAGAAGCCTGCTGCCAACTGCACCCATCCAGACCCCACACACCTACACCACAGTCCTTGGATTGGTCTGAATAATGCTTTACCTCAGCTAAAAATATAAATAGTGGCCACAGGTGATGGCTGTTGGATAATTCCTAAATACTCCTCAGGTAAGCAGCCAGATTCGTTAATGTAAAAGAGGATGTGTTTTATTAGGTAAAGGATAAATGAAAAAAAGCTAAATGGCAAAATCTAGCTGAGTGCTCCCCTGTGACCCAGACTAATATTCGCCAGCACATATCAGACAAATACTGATACATGGCTCAAAAATTATGAGGATTCTAACTCAATATGAAGTTTTAAAAGTCATCGCCAAAATATAATTTACTGCATTAAAACAATGACAAAGTATTATAAAATTTAACAGCATCATAGAGATAACTCCTTGGGAGTAAATCAATACATAATACCATTTTCCTCTGGACATTAGATCATAACTTAAATCCCACCACAAACTTCCACTATGCTTTTTACTTAAGAAACACAAATCAGGCTAATTTAATCCTTGATGCAAACTCATTATTTATAAATCAGAACTATTACCTTTCTACCCGAAGTAGAATCACAGAAACCAGGGACAGAGTCCGTAGTAGTAGACCCAGGGAAGAAAAGATTATTGACGTCATGAGGAAACATGGAGATTTCGTTCTGACGGTACACTCTGTGATGACGAAGTTTTGCTACCCATTCATCAAACAGCTCCTGAGATTTCACCTACACAAAAAGTTTTATAACATTCACATTCAAAATCACTAACAAAGAAACTAAGGTATTTTGTGCTCGTTAGACAACTAGCCTGGCTGCCCTTTATTGGTAGAATATCAGGAAAGTTTTTCTAATAATGCTCCTACTAAAATGTATACTGTATGAGCTTAAACATGACAGAAAATTGATCACAGGTTGAAGTAAAGAAAAAGAGAAACTTCAATTAGTATAGTTATGACTTCCAATGCAGAACACAACACTTAGCAACTTCTAGATGGAAAAAAACCCAATATAAATAAAAACAAAATATAATTTGTAATTTCTTAATTGCTATTTTTAAGGTTTAGTTAAGGTTTAAGTAACCACAAATAGAAAGTTGATTTCAGTGATGTATTTTAAAAAAAAATATTCCAAAAGGATAGATAAATCTACATATTTAACTGTGGAAAACACTTCCTATGGGTAAGACAAAGAGCAAGGCACAACTACTGAAAATAAAGCATTTGGGCAACAACTGCGTACCCTTTGCTGAAAAAAGTGCTGGGTGAAAAGAGTGCTGCTAAACATGAGGCATCTTCGAGGTTTCTATTTTGAACAGAGTTACTGATTCTGGAACAAGTATAATAAGGCCTCTGGAGGTATAAAGTGTAACCAAGTCTGCTGACACTAAAAGGTAAGTTATTAGTGTAACTAACAGACCTCCTACTATTAAAAAAAAAATATTAAGGTCTCCTCCATACACAGCTGATGTTAATTTGGGAGCAAGGTTAAAACAATCTTCAAGACCTACCTTCAGATGGTATATCTGCTCTTCTGTATCCAGATCTATACACTTTGTTGATTTCTTTACAGACATGACAGAAAGCCCAACATCAATACAGCCATGAATCTTCCCTCTCTCTATCTGCAAAAAAGTAAAAAGCATACAATCACTCCAAAATAAAGCAAAAGGATAGCTATTACCTGCTGAAACCATCATTTTCCACCCTTCAACCTACTGCTTAGAAATGCTGAAGCTCTATTTCCCATTGCTAACAATAAGGAATTATTGTTATTTTGGATAAAATAGCGTTGTTACCTTATAATGGCCTTAAAGCGTTTTAGAACACTTACATCAGCTTGGCATTTAGAATACTTCAAAATCCCTCTGTCCAAAAAGAAGTATCTCTGTAAATGGAAATGCAGAGAATTAAAAACAAAAATCCAAGCTAAACAAAAAACCCACCCCAAAAAAACGCAAATAAAAAACCCACACACACACCCCCCCATATTTCTTTGGGGAACGCCTTCTCTGCTCTTAAGTAACCTATTTGCCACAAAGCCACACCAAGCAGTGCCCACTCACACGCATCAGGCTTTCAGCTCCACGATCCTTTCCTACCTTGTGCCAGCCCTTCAAAGGCCATTTCCTCTTTTTCAGCAAGCAGCCCTCCTGCTTCTGCGGCTCCTGGGTACAATTCATTGCTCCCCGGAGTCCTTCTACAATTTCCCAGCTGTCCTGCTTAAACAGAAAATCCAAATCTAGATCTTATTTCTTCCAAAGAACAGAATTGTTAAGAAAGATTCAAGAGGATGAGGCTTTTAAGTCAAAAAAAAAAAAAAAAAGATTTTAAAAATTAATCTTGGAGAAGAAGTCACGCTTCATTGGGCAGGGTAGAGAGGACAGGCAGGAAAAAGCACAGGCAAAAGTAGCTGAGGCATGAGGCACAGGTAAATTGAAGGGAGGAAAAGGAAAAGGAAACCTGGCTTCTAGCCCTTCTTCCAAAGGTGTTCGTTTGCTTAGCTGGTGTTTCATGTGTTTTTTAAAAAAAAAAAAAAAAAAAAGGATGTTGAAATCTAACCTTAGATCCACCTTTACACTTTGTTATGTATCTTCCGAGAGACAAGATTCTTTATTTTTTATTTTGATAAAAACAATACAAACTTAACAAAACACTATTCCATGATACACTCCTTCACTGAATATATATCTGCTTAGCAGAATTTCATATGTATATTTTTCTGTACATAGACAGTGTATAGCAATAGCCTAGTCACAACTTAGTATAAAAAACCTGCCATCAGTCAGAAACAGCCTATGCTAAAAGGATATGTTTTGTAGGTTATGAAGCAGAAATAAAAACCATTAAAAATGAAGACCTTTTCTATGAAACTATTTTGCCCATATTCATCAACTCAAGGCTTTGTGTTTGGTGTGAATTGCAGCCTCCCCAAAATAAAAATAATAAAATAAAATAAAAACAAATGAAAAAGCCAGGGAAGTAACTCAAGTACTATAAGGGACAAGACATAAAGGGAGAGTAGAAGAAAAATAAAAACCACCCTTCATCAGATACACCTCTACTTAAAAGAGGATCTCTCTTTTTTGCATCAGGAGTGCTTAAATGAAAGACCCTGCAGCAGCATAACAGAGAAGAGTATGAGTCTCATATTATTTCTACAGTTCTTATTTAAGGAACAACTGCTAATGACAATGTAACATGAGTTTCAAGATTTCAAGAGTGTGAGGAGTCCTCTACTGAGGAGGAAGAAGTGGGAGAGATAACGTGTGATGAACTGACCACAGCCCCCACTCCCCATCCCCCTGTGCCACTGCGGGGGAGGAGGGAAAGGAAATTGGGAGAAAAGTTAAGCCTGGGAAAAAGGGAGGGAGGCAGGGAAGAAGGTGTTTTTAAGATTCGGTTTTATTTCTCATTATCCTACTTTGATTTGATTTGTACTTAATTCAATTAATTTTTCCCCAAGTCAAGTCTGTTTTGCCCATGATGGTAATTGCTGAGGGATCTCCCTGTCCTTATCTTGATCCATGAAACTTTCATTATATTTCCTCTCCCCTGTCCATCCAAGGAGGTGAGTGATAGAGCAGATTTGGTGGGCACCTGGTCTCCAGCCAGGGTCAACCCACCACATGCTCATTTATCCATCTCCAGAATCCTTATAATTCACCCATAGAAACCTAGAAAAAAAAGTTACATCAGGTAATGTGCTCATTACTTGAGCAACAAGGCATATTGGCAAACCATCTTTGAACAGACATTCATTAAACAGCTTATGTAACGTGATCTGTTATTGCACCACATTACTGGTGGCACTCCACTATTTTGTTATTATTTTCTCTGCACTGCACTTCATGGAACAAACTGGAAAGCTGCTCCCCTTCCCTGGCTTGAGTTCACTCTGCCAGCACTACACAAGAGGCCGCAAGCTGTAGAAATGTGGGGCTGAGGAGCTCCCATCATTCAACATCCTACTGACCACCTAATGATGTGCTGCTACCTGAAGGTAAGTCAAAACTGCAGTTGTCCTTACCGAAAGTGTCATCACGGCACAAATTTTGCACCCCGACAGGTCTGGGGTTTATCCTTGTCAGTTTTATAACAAATAGCTTCTTTACACCTTCCAGATTGAGAGATTTTTTGACAGCTACTTAGCTACCATTATTTCTAACCAATGATCATGACATCATGTTTTGCCTATTGAAAATCAGAAGTTGCACTCCGTGTTCTTTATTTTTATTTTTAGTGTTTTGGAACACACTTAAAATTCTCAATAATCATGAACCATTTCCTGCTTTGGTGTAAATTAGTGTGACATGAGATCAGGAAACAGAGAAGTTACTCATGGATATCACGAGTTAGCAGGCTGAAGGGAGAGCAGAAGGCCTCCTGGGTTGTCTCCAGCACATCACCCTACCACCAGCTGCTGCTGGAAACCAAGGGCACAGGTCCTTCACAGGGTGAAGCTGGCAGAGAATGAAGCAGAGCACCAGCCTGTGCCCCTGCAAGGACAGTCAGCGAGAGCTTGCTAGCTGCAGTTTGACAGCTATTCGAGCACAAAGGCAGATTTAAGCCTCCAGAATTAAAGACTTTCTTTCCCCCCCTTTTTTTGACAGAACATTCCAGTTGAACGATCCATCATCATGTTCCAGGATGACAGAGAACAGCCTCTTAAAATATCATCAAATGTAGTGTAATGCTAAGATTTACATTAACTAAGTAGCAGCTGAGCTTACTGCCGCTTAAATGTCCACATGTGGATAAAATCTCATCACTTCAGAAAATATGATCTACTAAATGAGCCAATATAAAAGACAGTCTTGACATTAGCTGATTTCATATTGGGGACTTGGAAAAAGGTGAAACAGTTTAAAAAGTGAGAAACCTGATGGAACTAGTGAAAAATAATTCTAATTAACAACTACCAAGAGCATCTGCAAAATTAAGAAAAATGCTATGTTTATGTTTTTGTTTCTTTCTTCTTCAAATTAGCCAGAAGAGCTTAAAACCTGTTTTGTCTGATTACTAAGCAAGCTATTTCCCTTGCCTTAGCTGAAATATATTAAACTGCAGTACTCACATAACTTTTCCACTGAAAACTAACCTGATAGCAGTCAAGACCAGTGAACAGCAGTTCCTTTTCAATATTCAAGTGTCATGCCTAACGAAGCAATTTTCTTGAACTTTGGATCAAGTTACCACAGACTTTCATTAAGCTTAAACACAGTATATGCTTGATAGAGCGGTCTGCTTGCAGGAGACAAGCACAAATTTGAGCACAAACTAGAAAAACACAAAAATCCAGATTCACCTTTCCACAAGCTTAGAAAGAAAGGGAGTACTGAAGTGAAACAAACCCATGCTACGTGGGGCATATGAGCTGAAAGGAAGGTAGCAGCTGCGAGTTTTGGTATAACTTTTAAATACAGAGCACATCCTGGCCTGTATTACAACTCTGATTTTGTCTGGGCCTCTCCTGCAGTTCAGGTGCAAGGTGTCTCCCACGTTCCTGTAAGACAGCCACATTTCTCACTGTTGCTCTGGTCAGTGAGGTGGCCAAGAAAGTGCCTTCACAATTAAAAAGAGTGTAAATGGGAAGAAAAGTTGTAGTAGAAGCACTTCGTCCCATAGAGCAGTAATAGCATCTGGTCCTCTTCCATGTGTATTTATCCAGAAGAGTCCAGCCTTTCCCACCTGAACCCCCAAACTCCCACATTTTTCAAAATACTGCTGCTGCACCTCGTTTTGGATCCGTTCACTCTTGACCCCAACCCTACAGGATCTTGATCAGTATTTTGTTTTGTGAGAGATCTGACATATCATTATATGAGCAAAAGGCATCAGTTGGCTATGGCTGGCAGCAGCTGCAGAAGGGAAAGGAAACTGCTTACTCTCCAAAATGAAGGCAAATGAATTAGGCTGGTCGGTTATCAACTGTTCTCATCTGTCTGAAATAGCAGAGGAGCAAATTGGAGATACAGGATTTCCTGAAAGCTACTGGAAGCATTCAGATTATGCTCCATTTTACTGATTCTTATCCCACGACAGGGAACTAAAAGAGATACCCCAAACCACAGCGCTAAATTAAAAAAAAACAAACCACCACACTCCTCATGAACCCCCTCAAGCCTCCCAGCTGAATGGCATTAAAAATTCTAGCACAAGCCTGATACCCAGATTGGCAGTGTCTTAAGGTTATGACACTACAAAAGATTTTGTATCATTATGGGCCAATGTCTGCACAAAATGATCAAGGATGCATTTGCTGCCCAGGCAGAAATTTCACCTGAGGCTGAGGGAGGAACATACTCTTTACTGTTCTCAGGTCCAAAGGTGCTCATTTCAGACCAGCACTGGTAATTCACCCTGTAGTTGATACTTGGCTTATACCTGCTCTGTGGCTGGGGGGGGGGAAAAAATGCAGCATACACTTTGATCTTCAGAGTTAAGTCTGTCCTTAGGTAACTGTAGTAATTTTCTTTTTTAAATAAAATTAATCCCTCCTTATTTTCTGCAATGTTCTGTACCAAACAGCTCCTCAAGGCGAATTATTTCAGGAGAAAGAATGGAGTAATGAGTTTGAACAGCTCTCAGGCCGATGCTTGCACTTACAGCTCCCTGAACGAAACAGATGACAGTGCCAGACTCTTCCAGTGTAAAATGCAGTCAGTTGTACCGAATATTTTAAAGTGCCAAAAATAGAAACCCTCTTTGTGGAGGATAACGGCTGGCATCAGCTGCAAGTAACGCATTTGTCACAGTTCATAAAATTGGCAGAAATGATTTAATTTTCTTTTTAAGAACATGAGATTTTTAAGTAGCTCTTCTGACATAAAGCTTTTCCCTACTGAATCTATTTAAAAAGTTAGTTAACATATTAGACTTAAAAAATAACTACCACAATATAACTTCTTTTGATCACAGGTCAATTTAATTTTAAAGATCATCAACAGTTTTTCTTCCTCACAAAACACAGTTTGAGTTGTGGCTTTGTGGAAGGCATCCCTTTCCATGACAGAAGAAGAGGGGCAGAGGAAAGAAAGAGAAGTGGGACGTGGCAGTAGCCTCCAACATGCTGTGGGGCTTCAGGACGAAGGTGAACTTAGTGGAACAGAATTAAGTGTTAGCATCTTCAGTTCACACTGGAAATATGTTGCATCTGGCAGAAAAATGGGCACCAAGCTTAGCAAAGGAAGGAGCAGGGCTCTCCAAGTCTTGCAGCCCTGCTGAAGTCAATTCTTTTTTGGCACAGTGGCCCATATCAGGACACTACTTATGACACACATTGCTCTGCAGGAAGCAATAACTAAATTTTAGTGGGCACAGCAGCTTTGTACTACGAGGGTCCCAGCCTCAAGTAGCTGCTTCTTATTTGGTGCTAGTGTGTACCTGCACCAGAGTCTGTGCCTAGGAAATCAGAGAGACTCAAAACTCAGATCCCACTGTTCTGGGGGGAAAAACAAATGACCTGTCCAGGTCCCTTCACCTGTGCATTTCAGAATTTCTTTCTAATTAATCAGGTTAAAAGAACTGCTGCGTCAGATGAGCAGCACAGAGAAAAGCACCCATCAGGCAGATCTGTCATTAACCTGCAAGCAACGAACCGAGTTCTCAAGGTCCCTGAGAGAGGCTCAAGTGTTTGAAGGAGGAATAAGAAGCCCTCCATGGAGCTGGAAGATGAAAGAAAGAATATCAAAATCATAGCGCTTCACTCCCCAATCTGCACAGCATATGGCAAAATTATTTAAACTTTCATGTTAGTATTAATAAAAAAGTATCAATAACAGTGTTACATTGTACTCTTCTACCAGGGCTTTGGGGAAAAAAAAAAAATCTCTGGTACTTTTTAGATTAGGGGATTTTTAACAGATTTATAGAACCTTAGCTTGCTGCTGTTTCCTTACTAGAACACCTAAAGCGCTGTCATTTAAACTAACAAGCAGATGAAAAGGGCAAACACCAGCCCTGTCAGCCCTGAGCAGGTGGATATTAGTAGGGAAGGACTGCAAAGCTCCAAGTTACCAATAGAAGAGGCTAAGTGAGAAAAGAAGCAATTAATGATACAAACAAAACTACTTGATCAGGTGTGATGAGAAAACCTCTGTGGGAAGGGGGAAGCAAAGGGACAGGATACAAGAAACATCTCAGCATCCTCACTGCCCAGACCACTAATTTAGATTTTACAACACTAAAGAGAGGGTCTATCTAGCAAGGTATATATTTATAATCTGCAAGACCAGAGCCTATTGGGGAACAGGAACAGGGAGAAGACACTCATTCCACATCTAAAGGCAACACTGCTGTGTCCAGGCCAGTGAGTCCTGCAGAGCACTGTCTCTGCTTGACCTAAAGATTCCTTTTTCCACATGGAGCAGAGAAGAGTATCTCTAACAAAACATTCACTGAAACAGGCTTCCATCACAAACTATAATTAAAAAATAAAATAAAATAAAAAAAACAAGGGAGAACGACACACAGGAGTTATTTTCAAGTAAATATCCAGAGTGCATACTGCACAGGAGATTTAAATCTTTGTTTTTCCCAGCCAAACAGTTTGTTCTGTAAACTGCAAGACAACTTCAGTGTGAAAAAACAGCCACGAGAAAAACACCAAAAACATCATGGAATTAAGGAAGGAAGAGCAATACAGAGCCATGCACATAAACATTGACAATGCTGAAAGAAAGTGTAATTTAGAATTAATTTCCCTTTTTTCTTTCTAAATTTTGCTACTTTGAAGAAAGACCTCTAGATCACTTCAGCAGATGCAAACAAAATTATAGGATAAGCTAGAAAGTTACTGCACTTGGTAAAGAAGGAAATAGAGAAAGTATAAAAGTATTTCTTACAATTATTAGAAGTTCCTATTTAAAAATAAAAATATCAGGAGACCAGTGGAGCCTTAAAAAGCACATGTAATTTCTGAAAAATGTGTTTGTAAATTTTCAGACTACATAGAAAAAGCAAGCAAAGCTTTTAGCCCTGCTTAGTGATCATTTCCAAGCATATAATAAGTCACACAAACTCCCCAACTTCTGTGGACTTGTGTCTATCATTATCTCCTGAAAACACAGACAATCAGTCAATTTACGTAGGTTTCCCAGATGCAAAAGTACACTGTTACTTACTTGGGATTGCAATGACTGCCCATGAGAAGATTAAGACTGAAACACTGATCAAAGTGGAGATACGTAACACAATGTCCCAGATTATCATGAAGAAATATCAACTGTATTGCCCTTCAATATTACATTGGGAAACAACCTACTTTATAGCTCCATTTAGCTTGACCTGACAGGTGTATGACGCAATGAATATAACGAATGAGCCCCTGTACCAGGAATACAAATAAAACATCAAGGTCCATCTCTCACCTTTGTCAGGTACACCTTGCATTTTTGTACAAGGGAAGAATAAAACACTGGGGATCAAAAAGATGGCATTAAAACTTAAGGAATTATTCCCTTACTCCAAAGAGAGCAGGTGAGAACGAAATGGATAAGAAATGAGACCTGCTAATAATAGTATCAAAACCCTGAGGTAGCCAACAGATTTGATCACGTTAAATGGCAGTAAGTGAGGTTTCTGCAGAAATTGCTTCTGCGTAAGGATGGCTGCTTCTACTGGCTGTGTAACACACCAGTGGGTTTAGTCACACTCATGGAAATCTCATTATTTAAATACTACATGATAACACTTGATAGACATGAACTGTTGAAACAGACAATACCAAATGTTCTAAATTACACTTTTTAAAGGTAATCACATACTGAGGATATAAAAAATAATGTTGCAGGAAAACAAAAAAAAAGCATCCTGAAAGCAAGGATTTCTTTGCTCAATATACTAGAAATACACGGCATTTCTTACAAGCACAGCACTTAAAAGGCATAAATTGTTCAGAGATTTGTCTGCTTCGCCAATTGTCTGCACAGGGACAGAAGTCCCAGAAAAGCAGGTGCTATTTCAAAACACAGCTGAGGTCTCCAAAGCTTTTGGGGGATTGGGATGCTTGATTCCAATTAAAACTTCAACCTGAGGCAGCTTCAAGAGCTCCACTGAGCCAGCATTTGTACAAATAAAAGTTTATGCTGAGCATATTGCTCATGATTTTGCAAGCACGGACTGAGCTTTATTCTCAGTGCGGTTGCAGGTCAATGTCTCTTGCCCACATGCAAAAGCTGCTTTAGTAATCGCCCTTGTCAGGTGCAAATGCTCGTAAGACATTTTTTTGAAACTTTAGAGTTTAATGAATCGCAACATCTGTGCAGAAAACAAAGCATCCTTTGCATTAGACACCCAGGTATATGCATTACGCAATTATTTATTTTCCTAACTGCAGTCCTATCGCAACACCCGGCACACACAGGCACTTTTTAATTTTGAAAGAGGCCCTATGTCAAGTTTCAGAAGTGCGTTCTCTTTCACACATGCATGCACATCTCTCCCTGGAAACTTGAAATAAGCAGAGCCGTTACACAATATTCTACCGCAACAGTGGTAACTTACAGAGAAGGCTTGGGATTTCAGGATCACACCACTGAGACCGAGCAATAATTCACTATTAACACACCTTACATACAACGTAACAAATTCAAATTCACTGTTAGCATTCCAGTTTTACAAGTGCCTGCTATTCAGCAGTGTGTGTTTACTGCATTTGACTCAAGATGCTGCTACCAACAAAACAGGAAAAGAGAGGAAGGAAAACAAAGAACTGATGAAATAAAACAAGCAAGCAACAGGAAAACAGATTTTAAGAGATCTGCCGATATTCAAGAACAAAAGGAACAGGCAATCTTAGTAATGCTTTCAGTTTGGCTAAAAAAGTTTGCATTACCTGTCGACTTCCCTGCTTGGAGGAGCAGCTGCTAGTACTTCTTGAAGGAGACAACATTTTCTGGGATACACCAAAGCTTTTTTCTTCACTCATGATCCAACACTATTTGTTTCACGTAAGCTCACTTAGAACACCATTAAAAGGTAATTTAGAAAATGTGTTGGAAGACTCCTGAGAGAAACACGGGACTCATCCTTTACCCAAATGCAGTCCAGAGGCACGATCTGGATCCCATGGACATTCCTAAAAGGGAAAAGAAAAATGAAAAGCCAAGTTATTAGACATCATCTAATTGCCATCCTGTAGCATGAATCATAATAAAGCCTTTGGTAATAGTGACTGCCTTACTGTACTTTAGTAGAAATTAATTCAACAATCACTTTAAGATAAAATTTCAAGTCTCAAACAGGAACAACATGAATTCTGGATGCTAAACACATGCTTTAATTTTCACTATTTATTCAGAGGACAAAGTACAGTATCAAGCATCTTTTTAAATATTTAAATTAATTTAAAAGATTAATAAAGACACACATAGAGTACAATAAATATTTATGTAAACGGACCAAAAAACAGCCTCAAAATGAGAAGAAAGCATCGAATAAAATGTCTCACAAAAAGAATGGTGAGTAATCAAAAAAACACCTCTTTTTCACAATTCCTTGATAATTTTAAAAAGTAAGCATGGCTTCAGGTTGTATGGGGGGGGAAAAAAAATATTTCTATAAAAAAGAGCAATACATAACAGTAGTGAGCATGCAAATTCAGCTGCACAGAGCTGTGCATGACCGCTCCCACCTGCAATCAGAAAGTTGTAACTATTGTCACATCAGTTCTCCCAGTCGGTGACTGGAAGAATAATGAGCAGGCTGTTTAATAACAGTGCTGTTTGCAGCATACGCAAATAAAAGCCACGCCAGAAACTCCCAATAACGGATTTCCAGTGTGGGCTAGAGTTGTCATGGTAACTGCATATTTTTTTAAAAAAACAAAACAGAGGACATAACAAAAGGGCGATGTTTTCCAAAACTTGGGGTGGTTGGAGGAGCTTTTTAAGAGCTTATCACTTCGGATTGTATTGTATTGGGCAAGGAATTTGCACATTAGGAAGAGCAAGAACCACCACTGAAGATGCTAAGGAAGTTTCCACAAAAAGAAGAGAAATATCATTGCCAAAACAGGGAGGTGCTACTTCACAATCCCCTCACTTGTGCTGTCAGAACAGTCCTGAACCGGGATCACTGGTTATTGAAGTTTGCCATTCATTTATTTCTTGAAGAGGCTCAAAAACCTATTCTGAGAGAAGGAGCATTTTCAGATCTCTAGTAAAACACTTTGTGTATTTTATGAATTAATTTCCCTTAAAAAAAAAATATACAAAAAAACCCTATAGAGAAGTAAAAAAAAAAAAAAGTAAAACCAGGAGGTATATTTAAAATGAAGACAACACTCTGCTGCAGAAATCCTCTCTCCTTACCACCATAGCCTGAAGCAGCCAACTTCCAGAGACCTCTTCCAATCTACAGCACCTCTTCAGCAATATACTTTGCTGTAGCATTTCAAGTAACATCCCCTCTTTTCACCTGAAACAAGGTCTCTCTCTTCACAGCCTTTACCTTACCTACTTAGCAATACTCAGTAATCTCCAGAGCAAATCTGTGCCCACCAACAATAACGAAACGGCCCCAGTCTCCAGAAGTAGTGTGAGAAAGGGAGCTCTGCTGGGGCTCTTTCGCTGCTAAGTCAGCTTGGCAGTTATTTCCAGGAACCACCAGACAGGTACAGAATCACACGGGGTCGGAAGGGACCACTGGAGATTATCTAGTCCAACCCCCCTGCCAAAGCAGGTCCACCTAGAGCAGGCTGCACAGGAACTTGTCCAGGCAGGTATGAATGTCTCCAGAGAAGGAGACTCCACCACCTCCTTGGGCAGCCTGTTCCAGGGCTCTGCCACCCTCAAAGGAAAGAAGTTCCTCCTCAAAAAAGTTCCTCCTGTAGAAAGCCAGAGAGCACAACACCAGAGCTGAAGGAAACCAGAAGAGCACAGCAATGGGACAGCAAGGTCTGAACTGAGCCTGGTGCATGGGTTTTACACCGAAATTACCACTGAGATTAGGAATAGTGCATTTTGGAGAAGGTATAGTTGCTTCCTACCTGGAAGATAAGTTTGTGTGGCATTTCATGAAGGACTAGCACTTTTAATGTGTTTAGACTTATCTCAATTTATGCAGGTTTTAAACTGTGGAGTGAGCATAAAGTATAACTTTCTTGCTTATTTTCAAGCTGTATTTAGTAAAAAAGTTTAATGATAACATCATTATAACTAACAAATAAGAAGTCAAATATCCACAACAGGAATGGGAACACGATTCCTGCAAACTCATCCTCCAGATAACCCCCTGAGAGTACCGTCCAGCAAGTGCTTTGCTTTTTTGGCACACTCTTTGCTCATAGAACCATCTGTCCTCTTCACTGCTCCGTGTTCAAAATGAGCACTTCAGCACTTGGCATTCAATGGTGACTATCTGGCAGTTTGGCAAAGACTGGCAGAATTCCTGGCAAGAAACAGGCTCTAATTGCAGCAAAATGCACTGGAAGTTGCTGTCACCAGTACTGTGCGAGTGTATCTCCAGGTTGCACTAGATGTAAGTTATACGATGACCTTTGTCTGTCTGAACACACAGGACAATGGTTGGGGTGTCCTGGAAGCATCAGGTAACTGAAAAATATGGATGTCTCATGGACTTTCACACAAAAAGAAGTCATACAATCAGAAGAGTATTTCTACCACCATGCTTTGGTGTTGAGTCTAAATTAAGTTAAAGTGTGGCTACATTAGCGTTTTAGGACAGAGCAGAAGAGGGCACTTCTGCAGCAAATCTCCTGATCTTGCCACATTTAGGTTTGCACTGCAGGACAGCCTTGGAACATGGAAACCAAATCCTTTTGGGATGAGCTATGCTCCAGGAGTGCAACCAGTGCTCACTGCACCCAGTTCACAGCACCAGACTAGACCTAGTCCTGACTTGTCCCATCCTGGTGTAGCTGTGGGGTCCTCACCTTTAACTGATTTGCTACAAAGGTCCACTTTTACTGCACTGCTCTGCTTGCTAACATTGACATCATCTAGACACAGATGTAGCCACTTAAGATCTCATAGGACAATGTCATTTGTCCTTTTTAAGTCAAAAAGAGAGAGACTGGACACTTTTCCAGAATTCAAATGAGCTGAAGGTGACTCAGCCACCTACCCAGAGATGCTTAAACCAGAGGCAGGAGACAGGTGGGGTAAACCTGACAGAGAGGTGGCTGAACCTCTGAAAACCTGAAATATTTTGTCAGTCTGCTTCTATAATTGGGCTTTTAGTATTTCCCTTTATTACTTCAAATTAATCTACTACATGGACTGAAGCAAAAGGTTTTGTAACCAGCCCTACAGAAGGCAGGAGTGAAGTGTGCCCTCTCTCCAAAGTGTTTTATTATTATTTTATTGGAGTTTCCCAGTAACATAACTTATTACCTTGAGAATTCTAGAACGTTAGAATGTATATGAATAATGAACATGGCCCCAACTCATCCGTGAAAACTGCTACACACTCCAGCAACTACTTTGTGCTCCTTTTTTAAAATTCTCTTCACGTTCAGGAAGAAAAAAAGAAAACCACAGTTGTCCTTCAACAATAACCCACTTATTTTTCCAGGAAGGTGTGAAAACACCAATCCTGCATCCCAAACTGACTCTCACACTCTGGCTGCCAACAGCAGTGACTGAGCCTCTCTAGGGGGACTGATATGAACTTAAGGCTACCAGGTACAAGAGCAATTACAACTTTAAAGCAGCCATAAAAATCAGTATTATGCCAACTATGCTGAGATTGCGGCCAGAATTGATGTTTTGAGGTCATCATGATCCAGTTTACTTCATGTTCAATACATTTTGCTCCTCCCCGTATCACAAGACGAACCTCGGAATTGTGTTCCTGCCCACCTTTCCTGCGGAGCACACAGTGCCACTCAGTGTGGCTTACTCAAAAAGACAAATCAGAAGTGTGAGGTTGAGGCAAATCCAAATAAATTTAGGGCAGGAACTTTCACAAGTGCTAAGTACTGGCCTAATTCTTTGCTATCTAGTCAACAGCAGCAAAAGTAGGCCAAGAGTACTTTTGCAAATGACCTCGCCAGGTGCATTGTGACGAATTAAGAATACATGAGTATCAAATATTATTTATAGCTACTACATCCTAAACCCATAAACAGCACTTATCTCTACTTATCATCTGTTACTAAGAGCCTTATCATTCTACATCAATTAAAGCTAATGTAAACAATATGAGAAGACCTATTTTTAAAAAAAGCACCATCCCAAAATGTTCTCAAGCCTTTAAAATGCACGAGTTCAAAGCAGCTCCTCAGTATCATAATTCATCTCTTGCAACTGTCAAAACAATACGCTTACAGCAAAATTCAAGTTATCCCACATCTTAGAAAAGGAAGGCAAAAATTTAGGAAAAAAAATACTGGGAACTGCAGTAAAAATCAACATTATGCAATTGTTTTTGTTATGGCTCTAGAAGAAAAATAAAGCTTAACAGCTGCTTCAGAGCTGATTCAGCAGTGAAAGAACACTGAAGAGAGATTTTGAGCAACAAAACTAAAAGAATACATCTCATTTTGTAGCTGTAGTCAATTAAGGTTTTGTGGATAGAAGAATATGAACAACAGCCTGATGAGAGTCATGTGGGCACAGCAAGCAGAGGACTGAGCATCCCAAATTAGAATTGCAGGCAACATTGAGTGACTTTCACAGAATTAGAAAAGAATCCGTGCTGAAACCTTTGCTCTGTAGCTATTATTAAATTATTAAGTTCCATTCACTCATGTCCACCTGGATAAACAAAGCAATAGTCTTTCCCAAGTAATGCTTTCATGGCTTTCTCTGTTATACTTCAAATTGTCACCTTTAATCTATCCCAGTGTCTCATCTGGTTCAAAAAAGGAAAGAATTATTTATAGACTACAGATACGCCATGTACAACTACTGGAGATGTCTTTTCAAGGAGGGTATTAGCTGTTCCTGAATTACCATAAGATTCATACTATTGAAGGACAAAGCTTTGTCTTGTTGCTACCTATTCTCTTTACAGAAGGAAACTTGCAGAAACAAAGAAAGTAGTTTAAACCAACTTCTTAATAACAAGTTATTAATACTATCTTTAAAAACAAAAGTTCAAACAGCTTAGCGA